GTTTCCTGGGTATGTGTGTTGGTTGGTTACAGAGTAAAGAGAACAAGGGGAAGTTGGGGCCAACTTCCTTCTGCAAGCTCAGCAGGACTTTCAGGACCTTACAGGGATGCGCTGTGCATTTAGAATGAAGTCATTTCACATTCCCCCTTTAGGGTGAATAAGGAAAAATACAGATTCTAAAAGACTTCATTCTTTCTGTTGATAACAAGGGCAAAAGACCAGGCATGGTACAATATGCCTGGCGGGTCATGAGTTCAAGGTCAGCCTGGTCCACATAGAGAGACCCTGTCTACAATAAACAAACCATATAGACAGGATTCCCATTTTTTCCTTTATCTGAGAGCATTTACTGTAGAAGAGCTACAATTACAAGTACTTCCTCTTCTCTTTGAAATGTATATAAACAGCTTTGAAAACTGGGCGGGCTTTTACTTTAAAACTCTGCAGGCCAGCCTTTGTCAAGGGCTTAGGAACCTTCATCTGCAAAGCAAACATCAAACAAATTAGCATACCAGCCTAAGACTGTAGCACATACATGCAAGTCCAGATACCTGGGAAACTGAGGCTGGAGGATAGGAAGGCCAGCATGGACAATTTAGGGAGACTGGAGGCAGTGTGTGTGTGTGTGTGTTGTGGGGAAGGGGACTAAAAATAAATATACTGCTACTTCTGAGGGGGAGGAAGCTAACTCTAGCATTCACCTCATTCCAAGTCAGAAAATGTCGCCTGTCATGAAGATTCACAAGCATCCCCTCTAGCCCCACCTGTTTTAGTTAGGGTTATATTACTATGAAGAGACACCATGACCAAGGCAACTCTTTTTTTTTTTTTAAGGCAACGCTTATAAAGGCTGACATTTAATGGCTGGCGTAAGTTTCAGAGGTTTAGTCCATTATTATCACAGCAGAAAGCACGACAGCATGCAGGCAGACATGGTGCTGGAGGAGCTGAGAATTCTACATCTTGATCTGAAGGCAGCAGGGAGGAGACTGTCATACTGGGCATAGCTTGAGCTTTGGAGACTTCAAAGCCCAGCCCCACAGCGACACACTTCTTCCAACGAGGGTGTACTTACTCCAGCAAGGCCTCACCTCCTAATAGTGTCACTCCCTAAGGGCAATGCATTCCAACACACGAGTCTACGGGAGCCAAACTAATTCAAACCTCTACAACCACCCATCACAACAAACAAATTTTCTAACTCAGCTGGCCACTCCAATCACTGCATTATTCCAGAATGAATTAAATCTGACAAAATAAGTCTTCTTACTTGGACCAGTCACCATTTTCCTGGAAACCAGGTACATGTATATAAGCAGCTTTGAAAACGGGATGGCTTATATGCTTTAGAATAGGAGGGCTTGTCTTTGTCCAGGCATGGAGCGGGTTGTGACTGCTTGGCTTGGTAACAGCAGTGGAGGTCAAGGGTGCTTCTGTCTTTGTACTCTCTTCCTTGTGGTGCAGGTCACATGCTGGGTTAACTAATCCTTAGAATTGTGTGGACTAGTTTTACTTTAACTTGACACAACTTAGAGGCATTTTGGAAGAGGGAACATGAACTGAGAAAATACCCCCACCAGACTGACCCGTGGGCCAGCCAGTATTTCATTTTCTTGATTGGTTATTGATGTGAGAGGGTCCAGGTCACTATGGGCGGGGCCACTCTCTAGGCTTGTGAGTCCTGGGTGGTAAAAGAAAGCAGGCTGAGCAAGCCAGTAAGCAGCACCCCTCCATGACTTCCACTCCACTTCCAGCTCTGAGTTCCAGCCCTGAGTTCCTGCATTGGCTTCTCCCAGTGATAGATTTCTGGCTGTAAGGTGAAATAAATTCTTTCCTCCCAAGGTTGCTTTTAGTCATGGTGTTTTGTTGTTGTTGTTGTTTTTCACAGCAACTAACTAAGAGTAGTAATCAAACTTTTCATCTTTGTATCTTTTCATCTCAACCTTTGTAGATAAGTTTTCTGGTTCAGGAATAGATTTTGCTTTATAGATATAATCTTAGCCCTCAGTGGAGAAGATGGCTAATAACCTAAGGACCAGGTTGGGTAGAACCAGGCTGATGTCCCTCCATTAGCATGGGTTTCTTCCAGAGAGAGAAGTACTGTTTCAGGGATTAAGAGCAAGGAATTTAGGAATAGACTGCTTGGGTTTAAACCATGTCCTTCCCTGAGCAGCCATGTTAGAGCTATTTGGTGACATCTCAGTGCTTGTCTTCCTTAGCTATAAAATAATAAAATAGGAATATCTGTATATTATCATGGGGCTTTAGAATGAATGAATTAATAACCATTAAGTCTTTAGTGCTGTGGGTAACGCTGAAGCCCACACAAGCGACACCAAACAGAGACTAATGATTCAGAACTCCATCATTTGTCACTTCTGTCACTTGTAGTCCCATGTGCATGGCAGAGACTCAACGACAGGCAGGATGTGAGACAGTAACTCAGCCAAAGAAAGCTTGGGTTCTCTGTGGGTAAAGCATGCTGGAGCGGGAAAAGAAGAAGCAGGCCATATGTGGCTAGTTGGTACCCTTGACCAGACATGACCATTTGAGGCTAGTCTCTGCAGAGGCTGAAGTTTGCTTTTCAAGGACTGCAGAGGTCAGAGAGCAGAAATCAGGACTCAGGCTTTCTCAGTCACAAGTGATCCTCCACTGCCAGTTTGCATTTTCAGCCCTTCGCAACCTGTGCCCGGCAAGGTCAGCTGTTGTTAGCAGTAGTCGTCATTGCTACAGACAGATCATCCTCCACCGTGGCAGCTGGGGGCCGGAGGCTTTCATAGTTTGCCTTCCCAAAAGACAGCAAGCTCCTTGGGACTGGAGGCTGCTTCCTACTCAGCAGTTAGGGACACCCCTAACTGTGTTCAGGGGACACTCCTGTGGCTACTGAAATAAAATGAATGGTTCATAGAGACATTAGATGACCTATACTCAAAAGAAGAGCAAACAGAAATGAGACACATTTAATTAATAGCTCCTAACTGTACTGAGTAGCATTGATGAAAGATTGCCGAAGTCCATTATCTTGGTCAATTCATCAGAAGTATCATTTACAAATGCCTTAAACCCTAATTCCCCCTCTATTTTATTGGCCCATTAGTAGTGGACATCGCTGTTTATAGCCTCGGATATTTAGCTCTTTCGGGCCGCAGAAGTCAGGGATGGCAAAACACTCATTACCATGCCATGACACATAAATTCTATCATTCGTTGAATACTTATCATGTTCCTGAAATAGACCCTGCTCCTTTTCAATGTCACAACAGCCTCATGGGGTACTCGTGTTCATTTCTTCTGTTTTTGCAGGTAAGGAGTTGCCTGAGATCACACAGCGGGTTAATAACGGAGCCAGGCTCTGTACAAAAGTCAGCCTTGAACCCATTGTTTGAACATCCCTGTAGCCAATTAGGTGTCATTTCTCTTCCCTCCAGGCTCTGTCAACCAACAGGCTATTTCATGGAATGCCTATTTGTACTTTTTGTGTAGGTAGAATCGGACACCATGTGGTCACTCTGCCCGGCTTCTTTCCCCTGGCATAATGTTTTCTTGGTCTGTCCATGCTTACTGTTCCACCTCTTCCCACAGCTGAGTAACAGTTTTCAGCTGTTCATGGGCATCATTATTTATTTATTTGCTTGTCAGCTGATGGGTATTGGGCTGTTTCCACTTTTAGGACATCGTGGCTAACGCTGTCGTGAACTTTCACAATTCCATTTTTCAAAGATTGCTGGGACCATCTCTGCTGCTTAATCTGATAGACACATCCAAATAATGTGTCAAGCACAGGCTCCATGGACCAGGCCCCATGGCCATCTTTTCAGAGCATGGCACTTGCTGAAGTAAGGCTGGCAGGCACACATAAGAACTGCCTCCCCTGGGATCTTGCTGTTAGAAATGCACGATGCTGGGCTTTCCCGTATACTGAATAAGGATCTCTCATTTAACAGCTTCCTAGGGGATTCTTATGTACATTGTTCCTTGAACTTCTTGGTTTCTGTGTTAGCCTGTTTCCTTTCATCTTCTTCACCCATCTCTGCCTGTCTCTTCTTAGCCTCTTTGGTATCGACTCTCTTCAGCTATGGTCTTACTTCCTAAGTTCTGTGCCCAGAACCAGCATAGAATTAGAATGCAGTCATCCCTCAGTAAGCCCTCCGGGGACCTAGAAGCCTGAGGATGGCTGGTACCTCAGCTTCCTCAACAATATCATTAGGCCATAGGGAACTAAACTAAGAATGGAAGACAGCAGAAAGAGCAGATACAGGAACATCAGACCAAGAGCTTCTGGGTTTTTTTTTTTTGTTTGTTTGTTTGTTTGTTTGTTTTTTGCCTCAAACCCACTGAATCCAGAGCAGAGAAAGGCTAGCAGGGGAGAGTATTGCCCCAGTGCCTTTGTGCATCTTGCCTGGCCACTTACAATAGCCCTCCATCCCTACAGAAGAGTAATGAGGGTCTAGGGGAGCATCAAAGAATGTGAAAAAGAAACATTCTGCCCAAGTATGTTTGAAAGATCAGGAACTCCAGGCGCATGTGGTCCAGTAGGGACCAACACGGGCTAAATTTGCAATGCAGAAGACAGAGAAAATGTCTCGACCAGCTATTACTCTCTTCAGGAAGTTGCAAAAGGGTGATTGACTGTAAAATTGAGTCCTATGTTTGGAGGTTAAGGAATGAGGGAATTATACTCAAATTGTGCATTAGATACAATTGTATGCATAATTTCAAGAAATGCTTAAAAATTTAATGCCAAGGGCATGAGTTCAGGTGAAATGAGGGAAAATCACCCCAGTGGAGATAGCTTCTAAGTCAAGTAGGCTGAAATATGAAAGGATTACTAATGCATTTATAAAGCTTTGGAAAGTCTAGCTTCTTGGCAGGATTTTTACTTCAAGGGCTTTTAAAAAGTCACTTCAAAGCACTTAACTTGGTGCTTACAAAATGACTCACCGAGAAAGAACATTGTCCCCCAACGGTTCCCCAGCCCACCTCCGACAGCTGCCATTTACCGTGAGCTCCTTGCTTTTTGTAAAAGGCCACCAGCCACGCACACGCTTTTGCTGGAATATGGAAATCTTGCTCTCCTCGCTTGCATTTTCAAACTTGGACAAATCGCAGGCTTTTGCAGATTTGGCTGCCCGAGGGAAGCTATTAAGGTTCATTTCCAGGGAGCCTGTGAAGAGATGCCCCTGACAGTTGAGGAGGGCTTTCCAGTCAGCGTGGATCAGTACGGACTCACTTGCCTGTCACTCAGTCAGCCTGACATTGCGTGGGAGATGTGCTAGCTATCTGAATAGCTATGAATGGGATGGAGACACGCGATGCCGTCAAGAATGTTACAACATGGTACAGGTGGAAGGCGGGGCAGAGTGCTCTGTGAAGCTTCAGGCTTCAGTTTGGCGTAACATTACTGCTGGGCCCCTTCCCGGCTGTACGCACAGTTCTCTGAGTCTGGATGCTGGGCCTCAGGGGTGGCGTACTTCCGCACTGATTCCCCCATAGCGGTCCCCCATACATCATCTTGCAGGCCAGGGTCCACCTGACATCTACTCTGTAGGACAACGGGTGGACCTCCCACTTTACTGCAGTGTGGCTCCAGGGTAAGATACTGTCATGAAAGTGTTGTGTCTCTCACTTTAACGACGTTCCAGTTATAATGTAACATTTATTGGTTATTTCTTGTTTTGTTTTGTTTTGTTTTTCAGAGACAGGGTTTCTCTGTGTAACAGCCCCTGGCTGTCCTAGAACTCGCTTTGTAGACCAGGCTGGCCTTGAACTCAGAGCTGCCTGCCTCTGTCTCCCAAGTGCTGGGATTAAAGGTGTGCATCACCATGCCTGGGCTAGAGTAACATTTGTTAAATGTGAAACTTTAGAACCTGTACATCAGCAAAAAACCATTCAGCGTCACCAAACTAGCCATGGCTCTGGATAGTAGCGCACAGCCCTCACCTGCCTGCCTCTTCTTTCTTTCAGATATACACTTATATAAGTATTTCTTTAACATATACATTTAAATCAGATCTAAACCTACTTATGTCTTGTTTATATATTTATATACGTGTATGTGTGCACGCGTGTATTTAGAAAGTGAGGTTTTCTATTCCATATTCTTCTCCACTTAGTGCATTCCCTCCAATTTTCCAAATCACTGACTGTTTCAGTGTTTTCACGGTTGTGGGGTTGCTGTTTACTGATATCTCCCTCTGTGTGAGGAGCTGCGGAAGGTCCTTTTTCTTATGGACTTACTTTATTATTTTACCTTATGTGTTTGTATGTGGGCCTGAATGTATGTCTGTGTACCACAGTCACTTAGACGCTGGCTGTGCAGGGCATCAGATCCCCTGGAACTGGAGTCTCAGGTGGTTGTGAGCCTCTTGATGTGGGTGCTGGGGACCAAACCCAGGGGCCTCTGCAGGAGCAGCACGTGCCCTAAGCTGCTGAACGAGCTCTCCAGCCCTTCTGGTTGGTCGTAACAGATTAGTAATGAACTCAGCTTTTAACTGTTTCTTCATGTTATATACAGCAAAGCTCAGCATGTCTAAATGCATTGTGGGCCTACTGTGTACACAGACCACAGCTGATTCTGCCAGTTCCCTAGTAATGGCTGGTTAGACTGTTTACAATTTTTTTTTTTCTGATCACAAATAGCACTAAAATGATTGTCCTCATAACAAAATCACATTCAGCTTTTCAAAAGCCCGGACGACATCCTTAACATTAATGCGTGGCTTGAGAGGGCCACTGGGCTTACCCAGGAAGTCGTCTGAGGACAGTCTTTCAAAATCCCAGACCTGCAGCACCAGCACAGCTGGGGTCTTACACTCCATCTTCTCTAGGGAAAAGATGTTCTCCCGTTTGGTGATGACCATCTGCTTTTCAGCTGGCAGATACTGGAATGGAAACAGGAAGCGCCAGTTGAAGTTCCCTTCTCCGGTCAGGGAGTTGTAATGCACGTCTGTCTCCTGTCTATCATCCTCCAAACCCTTGATCCACCTGCATGGAGACAAAGGAAATTCAAACAGTTAGAGTGCGGCGTTCAGGCACCAGCCGAATCAAGTCACTTCTCCAGCTTCACTGAGTCTGAGCTTCAGTTTCGCATTCCACGTGGCTGGGTTCAGATGGGACCTTCCACTTCAGTATGAAAAAGAAAAGCTAGGATCGACACATATGTAAAAGTCTTATCCCAAATCAGGTTGCGTAAGTGTCTTTGGCTGTTCATAGATGAAAAGCTCTGTGCAGTTAAGATAGAAAATAGGAAGTGACTGTGTAATTTGCTGGGGAGCCCTCTTTGTAAGGAGTGTTATTTCCAGAGTATTAGAACAAGATTGGAACAAGCCTGCTGTCAGGTCTGGGAATGGGTATTACCCATTGATTTTTTTCTCCATGCTAAGAATAATGTAAGCTACAAGTAATATGTTCTCCTAGTATTTGGCCCATGGCTAATTAATTCAGAAAACAAGCACTTTTTATTCGAACTAGGTGAAAATTCAAACACCTTAAAAGGTTTATTTTTATTGTTTTTCATTATGTGTACATGTGTGTTTATATGAGGGTTTGCACAAATGTGTGTCAGTACCCAAGGAGGCTAGAGGTTTTGAATTCCCTGGATCTGGAGTTCCCGGCACCTCTGAGCTGCCCGATGTGGGCACTGGGCACTGAACTCAGGTGCTCTGGAAGAGCGGTGTGTGCCCTTAACTGCTGAGCCATTTCTTCAGGCCCCAAACCACCGGCTTTCTGAAAGCATCAATTTCTCAGTCCTAGGGAAGATGAAAAACCCTTCTCCTCACAGAGAAATGCTACCACTCTGGGGTTAGACACACTTATTTAGCTAAAGTAAAAAGAAGACGGTATCAAGATAAAATAGTCAGATGACAAGAGGGCCCAGGATCATACCCTAGACTATTAACTGAGCTCTGAGTTTGTGCCAGGCTGGGGAGGGAGCCAGACTTATGAGAGGTGAGTGGGAGGGGTGGACGTGGGCGTCTCTTTCTAATATATCTTAATGGCCAGGAGTTGGAATTTTCTGAACTCTTCCAGAAGCCTTCCATATTATGAGTCATGATAAAATACCAGTTACCAAAACACATTTATCTTTCCTGAACATTATTGGAAAGCAATATCAGATGACTTTAACTTTGTTATCGAAGTATTATTCTGCTACTCTGATCACTACTTCTTTGTCATAATTCATTCCCGTATTCTCATTCTGGGGGTGTGGGGAATGAGGCTTTTGAACATGCGTTGATAGCCAAGAGAATTTTGAACACAAGGTGCTTCTTGCTCAGGAAAGGCCAACGACTGTCACCAAAGGGTAATTGATGAATTTAAACTGATTCTCTATGTCCTCACCTCCTCCCTGACCAGAGGCTGAATAGAAGCAGGACTGAGATTTAAGGGACATATCAAATGATTCCTCCGGGGGTCTGAGGCCGGACTCTCTTATTACTCAGTAGCACCAGTAAATTGGAAGGCCTAAATTCCAGCCTTTGCATTAGCCTTATAAAGTGCTAAACATGGGTCTTCCCTCGATGACCTTCACATTTTTCTGCTTGCTTCCCATTGGAGGGCAGATATACTTTGAACGACACTTAAAAGTTTAGTCACCCATCATTTAACTGAAAGATAATTATATAAGGTTTACACACTGAAAATGTTTTTATAAAATAATTCTTTTTAAAAAAGATTTATTTATTTATTATGTATACGTTGTGTTTGCATGTACACCAGCAGGCCAGAAGAGGGCACCAGATCTCACTATAGATGGTTGTGAGCCATCTATATGTGGTTGCTGGGAATTGAACTCAGGACCTCTGGAAGAGCAGCCAGTGCTCTTAACCTCTGAGCCATCTGTCCAGCCCCATAAAATAATTCTTAGCAAAAATGAATGAACAAGACAAACATTTCACACAGAAAGTGATCTTACCTAGCATGGCAGGACAGTTCCCTCCGTGGAACGTGGGTAGAAGCTTCCACGAGGCAGCTATTGTTTAGAGACTGAAGAGGGAAGATGGTGAAAGGAAGAATGGAGCTTGCGGGGAGCCTTACCCTTTGACATAAATGTCACTTGATTTCTGACCCGTGAAGATATTCTCATCTTCTAAAATGACATCTTCAGTGTTCCAGATGGTCACTCTCAGCTCATACCTGGGGTGGAGGAATGCAGGGTCAAGCAGATGACCTTGAAACGGGGTCAAAAGCATTGCACCTGGTCCATGGGCCTTGGGGCTCCCACGTCTGATAGCATCAGAACCCTTGGTTGGCCTGTCAGAACTAAGCAGCTCAACAGCTGGTCAGAGACTCAACCAGGGTGTGGGTGGGTCAGAGCAGCTCTTCCCTCTGTGGATCAGCATTTTCCATACGAGAACCCGGAGACTCAGAAGCCACCAAAATAACCACCTCCATCACCACAACCCATGCACCACTGTCACTGGCCAGGTGGAGAGGGGGGCGTGACTGCTCGCTGGGCTTCATTCTCCCATCCCGTGCTGTAATCCTGTATTCTGCTACCGCGGTCTCTTCCCTTAGCATGGACAGACTTACCCTTTGGGTTTCCTGGGTGAAATGTCAACAGGAGGCCCAAGCTGAGGTGTGTCTTTGGGAAAGATGTCCACCCACATCTGTAGACGGCCCTTGTTGACAAAAGAAAGTTTCCGTTAGGTTTGAGAGAGGGCAGGGCATGACAATGGACCATTCATTATTTTACAACATCGCTTCATTAGAAGTGGATGTTAGATATTGTTTGTGTCTTTATGCACATGTGGCCTATTTGTTAAAAAAGGCAAAGGCTTCTCTCTCTTTTCTTTCCTTTTCTCCCTCCCTTCTGCCTTCTCTCCCTCCCTTAACTCACTTCCTGCAGAGGAAATGAGTTCCTTCCTTTCTTCCTCCCTCTCTTCCTTCTTTCCTTCTTTCCTTCTTCCCTTCCTTCCTTCCTTCCTTGAGCTAGACTCTCATATAGCCTAGACTGGCCTTGCACACATTATGTACATGAAGCTGGCCTTGAACTCCTAATGCAGCTGCTTCTACCTTCAAAATTCTAGAATTAAAAGCTCATATCGCCATGCCTGGGATAACTTATATTTTGATTAAGAATTTACTAATGCATAAGTTAAGAGCTGGGAAAGGACAAGGCAATCTTTATTGAGCCTCTGCTATGTATTGGACATGGTATATGCAGCTGATACATACTGTCTCATGAATTCTTACATTATCAAATATTCCCAAATGTCAAAGTTCTTACAAAGGACTTTAATAATTCAAATTATAAAACTGAAAAAAAAATCCAACACTGACCCCAGAGCATAGTTTCTTAATGTTGGCATCACTGACACTTGAGCTAGGTAACTCTTTCTTTGGGGTGGAGGCTGTCCTGTGCATTAGAACATTTAATCTAGCAGCATCTACCCAATAGCTACCAACAGCACCTCACCTACTTCTAAGAACCTGTACTATTTCCAGACAGTGCTATGTGTTCCCTGAGAAGAAGCTCAAAGCCCTCACTGAATAGAACCATTGCTGTAAGGCACACAAAATTAGCTGTTAGGAACAAAGACGCTTGTCTTGTCCTCTTTAGGCCAGACCCGTCCTGCCCACTACTGCCTCCACCCTGGCAGGCATGAAGACAGGCAGGCAAGGAGACGCTTGTGTCCCTTCCTTTGGCTATAAGATCTCAAGATCTATAAGTTCTCAAGAATGTGAGATTTACTTGGGAATTGCGTGTGGAGCTGGGAAAAGATGAAACCTGGTGCTATCAAGAGGGGTAGCTCCTCTTGCAGAAAGAAACTCTGTACAGTCTGACAATTTGACAGACCACCTTGAAGGACAGACTGGAGCAAAGGCGATGACTGACCAGTGGTGGGTGGGAATGTGTCTTGAATAGTACTGCCCAGCTAAGTATGTAGACCTCTTAAACTCTTTTAAACCTAAATGTCACACTAGGGTTCTTAAGATAGATTTGGGGGTTCAATGGACCCCTTTATCGTCCTCTCAATGTGAACACAGTTAATAAATCTTTCTTTGCTTTTCCCTGTGACTTTGTCTGTGTGATTTCCCTGTTAAGGATGAGTGACCAGCCCTAACTCCTTAAGGTTGCCACCGTCCAGGCTCTGCCCTTAATAAGGCTGGTAACACTACCTGCTCCATTCCCGGCTTATCCTTGTGGTACAGTGGCCGGGTTTCTATGTGCTCAGGAACCAGCCGACACCCGACCTCAGGGATGTCCTCCCAAGAGTGTAGCACCTTGAGGGCCAAGTGTTCATAAGACTCCACCATTTCCTCTGCAGGGAGTAAAGACAAGGGAAGAGGCATGTCAGAAGCTGTTACTCCAAAGAGTGGAGTCTGTCTGTGCCTTAAGTGCGTCCCTTAACCACGCCTCCTAAAGATGCTGGGACATAGTAGGATCAAAAGAATATTGAAAATGGAAAGAACTGGAGGTGGCATGGTGATGAATGTGGAGATGAGGCCTAAGGTGACTGAATTGATAAGAAGACAGAGACGGCAATCACACCCTGGGGAGTGAGGGTTATACACACGCACTCACGCACACAACCACATTCCTGGAAATCCCACAGAAGATGAACGCCAGACACTAAAGAAGGTATGTTTGCTAACACCATGACATGAAGGCCTAGAAATCACTTTCTTTCTTTAAATAAAATGGGGGCATAAGGTGTGTTTGTAGGTGTCTTCTCTTTACCTGAGATCCCCCAAATATACACACCTATGCTCCATTTCAACAAATGAGGTGTCTCATGATTTAAAAGACAAAAACAAAAACAATAATAAAAATATTGGTGGAAAGAATATCTTGAAGCAAGACAAAATAATTGGAAGAATAAAATCTCGACAAAGCTTATAATGCTATAAGATATAAGATAATCAAGCCTGACCACAGAAACGGTCACCCAGTGACAATAATTATGTCAGTAAGAGCTGAAGAGTTAGACAGTCAATGAATAAAATCATTGTCATATTAATCACTCAGGAACTGATGTTATGAACATAATTTCAGATTTTTACTATGCAAAATGGTAATGTTTTAAACATTGTTTGATCAAATGTAGGGTTTTGACCAAATAATTACATCACCATAAGAGTATATTGTGCAGAAGAAATTTCTTCAAAATAAATCAACACCAACATGTCACCAAACACACTGTTTAAAAAGCAATGACTCTGTGTGCAAGAACTTTCAGTATGTTCTTGGGTCCAAAATAATGAAGTAAAAAGAAATAGAGATGGTGGGAGTCAAGAGTGTTGAAACAGGCTCTGTATCACCGATGTTTGACCGTGGCAAAAGCACGGAAGCTTTAGAGAGAAGTAGGAACTGCTCAGATGTGGTGATAGCAGAATTGTGCTGTGACATTAAAAATGCCTTCTTCCCCCACCTCATCCCAAACTTATGGAAGCTTCTTTGGGATCTCCAGCGTGTGCCCTGTGATACTCAGGCAAAAATGTTCCTCTTTTGGTGCTACAGTAGGCGGTTTGGTACAGCACTTGTGGGTTCACTTAGATCTGTTTCTTGCTTTGCACATTTGCAAGTCCTTAACCAGTTAACACACACAAGGGCTGAAAGGAGATAGACTGACATGAGCCGTAGGTACCTGAGCCTTGTGGTTTGGAGTGCTTGTCATTAGCCTACTTGATTTTTTTTTTTTTTATCTTTTCCTTTGGTAATTAGATGACCCACTGTCCCCAAGCCTCAGCCACTGGGACCAGTCTTTTAAAAAGAACAGCTGCCTCAGGGTGAGCACTGGACCAGGTTTTACCGGAGTCTTCTTCGGTGAAGGCTGTTTTCCCAGAGAAGACCTGATTTCCGATCTGAATCTTCCCAGGGCGAAGGTGTGGTCCGTCCAGCTTGTTGTCTTTGCAGAGCTTGGTTAGGATTTCTGTGGGTTTGGACGCGTCCCTCCAGGCATTGTAGCCTTCTCTGAGAAGCGAAGGAAGGACAGAGGAGGTGAGACCGGCCGCCCTCTCAGGGAACACCCTTTGAGGCCCCCACTAAAAGCTCAGCTCACAAGTGTGGCTTGTGCGGTTCCCTCCCCACCCACCTCCAGGTTATACACCTCGGCTAGTGGGTTTGGCTTTTCATTTTCTCCTCTTTCTAGTCAGGCACCTTTGAATACGCACAGCTTGCATGTAAGACAGGGCTTGTAGGAAGCTAGACCTTAAGACGGTTTGCAGGAAATTTTGATTATTATTATAAGTGATACACTCTTCTTTAAAAAAAAAAAAACAAAACAAAACATGGAAGTGAAATTCATATAAGTGAAATTTATCATTTTGAAGTCGACTGGGTTCAGTGGCATTGCATATCTTCCTGACAACATGAAACCCCTCTTTCTGCCTAGTTCCAAAACGTCGCCATCACCCTGAAAGGAGATTCTGAATCCGAACTGCAGTTTCTCGCTATTCCCACTTCCCAGCACCATCAGCAAGCACCAGTCTGTTTTCCTACTGCTATGGGTCCTGGCAAGTTGAGGCAGTGTTTGGTCATTTGTGTGCTTCTTAAGAGGACGACCCAGCGCATCACCTCAATGTCTTGGGCAGAAAGTTCTGACGTGTTTTTCTAATCAGCCACTACTGGTGGCCATTGCCAGGTCTCCCCAACCTTTTTATCCCCTAAGAAATAACTGTTTGGGAGGAAGTAGAGTAGGCCACTGGCCACACCTGACCTACCGCAGCAGGAACTGCCACGGTCACATACCCTGCGGATCAGGAAGGCAGACGGCTATACCACTTTATAACACGTTCATATGATAGAATACTACGTAGGCCCGGTACATCAAAGACTGCAAGCTATATTAGATGACAGCTAGAAAACTGTTAAGCTACAAGTAAGAACAACACACAAATGACAAAGTATGGAAAGTGTAATCTAAGTTCAGAAGAAAACAGTACAGAAAAAAAAAACACTAAAAAGAAATAAGCAAAATAGTTACATAAATATTTAATTATTAATCAATAAATTATGCAAAATAGTGAATTATGCAGAGTATTTGATTTGTAGTGATAAAGTATGTAAATTATTTTTCAGTTTTTAGGAATAGTTTTTGAAAAATATTTTTGAATTACACAATGGAACTCCAATGAATGTCTATATTTTTCCTGGTTGTAATTTGTAAGATTTTGTTTCAAAATATAATCAGATACAGCACACTTAAAAAGAAAATCAAGCTGGTAGCCTACATTTTAAAATAAAGTTGAATTGCAAATGCTCGTAAAGAATGAGGGTTAAATCTGTTCTTCCTTCACTTATAAAGTGGGAATCATAAAACCAAGCGAGTTCTGGGAGAACTGAGAAGATATTCCATGCAAACGTCTTAAAACTGCCGGTCCTGAGCTCACGCCCCGTTGTTTGAGGGCTGAGACACTGACGGTTGGTTTGTAGTAACCATTCTTCACCTAACACCATCCCCGGGGAATCCTGACCACCAGACACAGCTGAACACCCAAGAAGCCACAGCCTGGCTCTTCACTCCTGAAGGACCTGTCCTGGGTTTTAAATCAGAGCCACCTCCCCAGCTTCACTGGCCCTCAAGAGCAGGGAACAGCCTCCCTAAACCAGTTCTGCTGATAAGGTCGGCCTGCCTAGAGAGGAACGCATGCGCAGTCCAGATCCCCTCAAGGCCCTGGCCCCGGGACTCCAGCAGTGTCTCCGCAGAAGAAAACTTACATCTCATACTGGCTCTGCAAGCCGCAGATGGCTCTGTGTTTGCTGTAGAAACGGTTCTCCAGGTCGATCTTGGTCTCCCCAATGAGGTCATCCGAGCCAATCATGTCGTGGTCATAGATCAGGACGGAGAGCAGGGACTCCTTAGGGAAAGTGGCCTGGATCTCAAATGACCTGAGTCCAAGCAGAGGGAGGGCTGGGGATTAGCGATGTCTGGCGGCATGGGACTTCACAAGCTCCCTTCGGTTAGCTTCCTGTCGGGGTGGGCATGCTGCCTGGATCAACAGTTCAGTCAGGACTGACCCGTATCTATGTGGTTTATTATCCACGTACAATTAACGTCTCATTTCATTGTCAAAGTTTGACAGTGGTCGGCCCGTCCACCGTCTCTTAGAGCTGTTTCCTGGGAAGAGGGGCATAAAGAGTAGCCCCTTTTCCTAGGATAGACTGCAGATAGCTCTCCTGGCCCTAGACCTGTGGACTTTGTTCTGATTTCCAGTTTGATCTTGGATCTGAGTTCTGTGGCTGTTAAACATTGTGGATGTAATATTTTCCATCCTCCTTGCAAGAAAATGAGAACAAATAGAATTATTTATATGTGTGTGTGTGTGTGTGTGTATAGACACATATATCTCATAGTGTGGGTGGTTAGATACAAGGTTGATCATATAAAACACACATTTCACTTGCAGGTTTTCAGCTCATACACAGAATATTATCATTGCTTTCCATTACCGCTTTGTCGAGGAACACCAGCTGGAGTTTTCATAAAGAAAACCTCACTGACGGAAGCAGAGAATCACAGTGCTGTTCTTAGGGCTAAGCCCCTTGAGAGCAGAATACTGCTCTCTGATTTCCGCATCGCTGGAGTTTGCACTTGGCCTGCAGAGAATATATATTTAATGGCTATTCCTTTGAACTAAAAAGCATGTCAGAACTCTATTTCCAATACCTCTACTTTGGAGCTAAGAAAGCCAAAATCCAGAGAACTAGGTGAAGAATCCATTCAGGAGACAGCCCTTCTCAGTGAGAAAAACAGACAGTTTAAAGCACCAGTGATTACAATAGACAGAGCAGGCTCTAAAGGCTCATGGGGGGCTACAGAGGGGAGAAATCATGTGTCTTTTATCTGTTAAGCACGGTGGTGCCCTTTGGCTTCAATATTTGGACTCTAGGTTGTACCGGCTATTCTGGGGGTACCTCAGAAGGATGCACCCAATGTCCACCACTGAACTTTGCTATCACCATGGTAGCCAATGAGGAAGGGCTTAATAAGGGCTTCACTGACCCTGGCAACGACAGGACACGATGGCTCTGGCCCTTCTCATCAAGCTGTGCTCATAGTTTAACGCTGCCTGAACTTTAATTGGAGCTGTCCTCCAAAGAGTTTGCACAAGCACCACACCAAGATTGCATTCCTGGTTGCCTTGGAAACTCCTAGGCTTACATCGGGTCAGTGATAATACCATTAGATGTTATGGCGTGAGGAAAGATCATTAAACGAGCAAAAACTGAGCTAGTGAAAGCGTGTGGAGGCGTAGAACTCTCAAGCGAAGATGTCCTATGGTTAGTTTAGTCACTCATTCATTTCCTAACTTATTCTTCTGACATTTGTCACACAGCAACAGTGGGCCAGTTCTTGAGAGGAGAATCATTTCTTGTGGGTAAAGCATACAAGAAAGTGGCAGAAGAAGATGGCGGGAGCGGAGAGCGAGCCATGGGCCAAGTGTTGCAAGCTAGGGGAAGAGGACCATAAAGAGTAGCCCCCTTCTCCTAGGATAGACTGCAGATAGCTCTCCTGGCCCTAGTCCTGTGGAGTTCAGACTGAGCCCTCCCCTGTTTTCACGGGACTTGCCACAGGGTCACAATCCTCCATTTGTTTTTCTCTCAGTAGTCATATGAGCCCCGAAGAGCATAGACATGCAGAGTACCTGACAGATGGATTCTCAGTACTGTGAGGGAGAGAGGGAAGTTCTTCAGGGATATAAGGAAAATAGGCAGAAGCCACGAGGAGGGTAAGCAGGACCAACGTCTGCAGAGGTGAGTGAGCCAGACTCCATGAGCTGTTTTAGTCAGCCATGATCTGCTTTTTGGGATCCCATTGTTTGAGAGCTATGAAGGTACTAACTGCCAAAGGCTATGTTCCTACTCAACTTTATAATGATACAGGGTGACAGAGTCCCATCAGTTCCCACCATCAAATGGAGGAAGTTTTGTCTGTGCACCTATTCATTCGCTCACTCATTCATTCTTTTGCAATAAAATACTTATCCAGCATTTATTGTGTGCCAGGCCCTGTCCGAGGTACTGGGGAAGTGCTATTGGCCACCTGAGTTCATGCACAGGCAGATATGACCTTGTAGCAGAGAGAAGGGGATAACCAATGAACACACGAACAAGTAGACCTATGCCAGAGCTAGGAAGGAGAAAAGAAGGTGGCACAAGGAGCCAGGGTGTTGGCGGAAGTGGCTGTGACATGAACACCATAGCGGTGATCACCGGGAGGGGGGTCTGTATGCCCCAAGTTAGGCTCACAGCCTGCTGGAACCCAGTAGATTGAGCTAGGAACATCTATCCTGGCATAACAATAAAATACCTCCACCAACCATCCACGCCCAGAGAGAGTATAAAAGAACCCCTGTAAAGCTGTTGGTGGATTCTATCACACTCTCCTCCCACCTTCCAGAGTCATAAAATAAGGCTGATAAAGCAAGTCTAATTCACATCCGGGAAACTGTAATGACAGATGAAGCAGTGGCTACGTAAGTGGTAGACAGCAGCAGATGCCACCTCTGGATCAGAGAAATGGGGTACTGTCACTTTAATTGTTCCTATTAATCCAGACTAGTTCGCTTATGACCTCATTTCCTCAGCAGTAATACAAATCTAAGAAGCTGATGCTCACCAAATGCCAAATGGGGTGGAAAGCCAATATAAATGGGTAAATGAACTTCCTTGAGTCTGGTGGGGATTTCATGCCGTGCTCTAAGTCCCTCCAGGAAAAGAAAGTTAAATGTACTTAAGAGATTGCTAGAGTAACCAATAAGGCGGGGAAGATGGCACATGTGTGTTGAACACTGACTGTATTATGGATGTTTGACACGTTCTTTCAAAGGAGTCTAGAGTCGGGTATCTGTTGCTTTATAGCTCCAGTCTGAGGCGAAGTCAGCTGCATGAGAGGACAGAGTCTATACTTGACAATGAAACCTAGCCTCCTTCGCAAGGTAGCTAGAGCAACAAACTCAAGCAGGAAACCTGTGTGATATGCTATTAGAATGTCAGTGGGGTGTGGCTGGAGTGATGGCTCAGTGGTTAAGAGCCCTTGGGTTTGGTTCCCAGCACCTAGATGGTAGCTCATAACCACCCCTAACTCCAGTTCCAAGAGATCCAGTGCCGGGGACACTGTGCCTGTGTGGTACACACGCACACACGCAGGCAAAACCTGCACACACAAACAAAATGCAGAGACCTTTTTAAAAAGGTGTTTCCATGTCCCAGGAAACTGCTGTGTCTAGTCCTACTGTGCACACATACATACAGTGTATCTTAACGTCTTGCGGGAAAACAAAACATCGGAGGGCTTCAGTTCAACGTTTGTACCTCAGGAATCACCGCAAGTGGGTGGCAAAATGATACTGTGGTAAAACTCTCTCTAGTAGGAAGAATCAAGCCAGAATCAAACCAAGAATCAAACATCTGACCTAACCCCCTCTAATTCTCAGCTGTGTGAATTTGAATTATGTTTCTTAACTTCTTTGGACCGTTAGATGTCTTGATTGTGAGAAGAAAGCTTTCAATATGGTACCAGGAGGTGGTATCCATGACTCTTTGAGGTACTTTTAAGTTTAAAACTTATGTGTTACAAAATCATGTGTCAGAAGAACATAATGAACCAAATCCCAGATAGGAAAACAGTCTACATTTTTGCATGGATAGACATTTGGTTGACTGTTCTCAAGAGTACAAGTCAGTGTTTAATCCTCAGCTACTGTTTATCCAACACACACACACACACACACACACACACACACACACACGCACCCCATTTCCACCAGCCCTCCAGGAAGGGAGCAGCAGTCAATGCAGAAAGGACAATGCAACCCACCTACCTTCCAAACACTGGATTCAGTTGTTTGGGGATGTATTTGTCCCGGTCTTTGATTTCTGTTTTGCCAAGTCTGAGCACAATGTAGGGGTCTGATTTGCCATCTGGATCTGCTGGGCTGAGGTTAAATGCCTGGGGAGGAAAAAGGAAATGGCTCTGACCCAGTAGCCTCAATCCTGGCTGCACATGAGGACACTCGGGTGCCAGGCTCTATCTTGAGATATTCCAGTTCTCTAGGTCCTGAGGTTTGCGACTTTTTGAAGCTCCTTAGATTTTAGAGTGCCGTTAAAGCCAGGAACCACTGCTTTAGCATCCGAATTACGCTGGTTAAAAGGGCAATTGTTGTTACTGCTTTTCTGTCATCTACCCAGAGGAAACTAGTCCACGGCACACGGCAGTGAGAAACATACTGGAGAAGGAGGCAGAAGGCACGAACCCATTGTCTAGTTCTAAACAGTTGTTTCATCTTGGGCAAGTCATGTTGTTTCTGGATCTATCTGTAAAACCCTGTCCAGCACCGGCGGTTTCTGAAGCCATTACCCCACGAGTCTTGCCTTTTAGCCACAGCCTCCTGACTGATGATGTGTTTCTGATCATGAAGCCGGATTCCAGAGGGGCTGGACCTTAGGCTGTCAAAAGTGAATGTAGTATAAGGAAAGGCCCTGCAAGGAGGCCAGTAAGACATGCCATCAACCAGATTGAGAAAGGTGGGAGTGAAGAAAGCTGAGAAACAGCAGGACTGTCTTCTGCGGACAGAACAGGGTAAGCAGAGAGAGCCACAGGAACAAAAACAAGAATGTCCTCTAGAAATTGCTTACTAGCCAAGACCTGTAAACAGGCTACACCCCAAAACACAATTCAAAGAAGCACTCATTTGTTTTTCCTTGTCGAATCACTAACATTTAATTTTGTATGCCCATGAACTCTAATGCAACCTGCTTACTTTGCTGTTTTTTGTTTATTTTTTTATATTTTTATATTTCCTAATTCTTAGACCACTTGGAACAAGCATGTTATCTTCATGAAAACAAGCATACTGTCCTGTTCATCACTCTATTTCAAGGACATGGAACATGTCTTAAGGTTTGTTGTGTGAAAAAGTGTTATTATATCCACTCAAGAAAACAGTGGAAAAACGTCTGTTCTACCTTGGGAAGTGAGGAACACAGGAAAAAACCTTGATTTCTTTCCATATGCATTTTAATTTACTTTTTACAACTTTTTCGTGCCTATTACATTATTTTAAAATCAGTGTATTGTATAACTGTGTCTTGATAAATTATGGAAAAGCACACACAATCACAACTACTAACGAGGCCCACACCATCCCACAGTGACTTTCTTGCTAATGAAATGCAGGACTGTCATCCTCTTAGTCTATTCATTCAAGTCCTTTGTGACCTCAAACTGCAGCCCAAGCCATCCCTCTTCTATGCTGCCCACTCCTGCTCTAGGTAGAAACCTGGTCTACGGTAGCCCTGACCTTTGTGTGGAGAGCCCTAGACAAAAGAAGTACAGGAGGGGTTGTGTCTCATAGCACTATAATTCAGAGAGAGGAAAAGATGCCCCTTCCCCCAAGTGGAGACCATGCTAAGCACCTAACTGTTCAATAGATTTGTTTTGTTCCCAAATTCTCTGAGCCTTTAGTGTGCATATAAGCTTTGAGAACCTCCAGAATTGGAGAGAAAAAAAAATCAATTAAAGGACACATTTCTCAAATTTACATAAATATGTCCTCTTTTTCTTGAGGACTATATGTTAATTAACCCCCAGGACAGCAGGTGCTTCCTGAATAACATTTTGAAAAAGGCTGTTGTAGAGGAACCCGTAGGCTGGCATTTGTTGTAAGCTACACAGCACTGTCTGAGATTTATCATAGGCACTGCCACCCTGTCCAGCTAGACTCCTTTTGTGAGGACAAAGCCTCCATCACAACACCCCTGCCACATGGAGGTGTGATGAAACTTAGGGAGAAAGGCCAGCCAAGAAGTGCCTAATAAAAAGACAGTTTGTTTTCTCATCTCATTGCTATTTTTTTCCCTTGAGACAGGGTCTCACTGCATGCTTGGCTGGCCTGGCACTCGGTCTCCTGTGTGCTGGGAATAAAGGCCTGCACCACCACATCAACAATTTGTTTTTCTTTTCGGCTTTGTTAATGCTTCTTACAAAGGATATAAGCAACATGAGGGGAGGTAGCACTGAATAGGAGCACTACAAAGACGGTCATGAAAATCAAATCTGAGCAATGAGTTAAAGCCAAATCCACGGCCCATAAGGGGGCCTTGTACAATTAAACGATATGGTTTGGTTTTCCACTTTTCCTGGCAAGTCATTATCAAAAAGGAGAAGCCTAGAGACATAATGCATTGAGTTTTGGGTCTTTTTTTTTTTTTTCATTCAAAATGAAATGAGGAAAGTTCACCTCATTGGTGCCTTGTTGGGTCCTGGGTGCCTTTCTCAAGCTCCTCCTCTTACTGTCTTCCTTGTGAGCATTCTACTTCTGCCTTTGGTTTCCTTTCTTGCTAGTAGGTAACCTAACAGAGCCGCTAAAGCTGAAATGCACTGATCTGGGTGCCTTCTAAGTCATATGTTGAAGCTTTACTGTATTAGACCTATGGCTGCCCAAAGGCCAGTGACTAACACCAATAATGTCACAGGAGTGGAGCTTTAGATTTCAGAAGTTGCTCTTTTTCCTTCCACACTTACACCCCCAGAAGAATGGCCATGTGAAGAGAGTCAGAAGGCAGACAGCCACAAGCCAGCAGAAGAGGTTCCAGCAGACCCCAAGACTGCCAGAACTGTAATCACTGACTTAGAGCTCCCAGAATTGTGATTAAAGGCATTTCAGTTGTTTAGACCCATTTGTGGCATTTTGTTACAGCAGTGTGGGTAGGCTAATCCACGTTGATCAAAGGAGGACAGCTTACCGCAACGATGTACACCCTGATCAGCACTTGAATGGGGTGATTGGGTGGGAGTCCTTGCTGGATTCTCAGCTGCCCACTGTCCTCTGAGGTAGCATCCTCTGGGCTTTTGTAGATGCAGAAGGAGCCCTGGAACCACAGAACACAAAGCCAGAAAACAGAACTGTCACATGACCCATGGAAGACCACAATGATCCCTGTGGTAGAAAAATAAAGACAGTCCAAGCGTCTGAAGGACAGGGACTAATGTTACCCTTTGTCAGGCGTGTGTCCTTGGACCATTTATACAAGCTGCTTGCCTCAGCACTTATTCATGGTACACTAGTGGATGGGGGTCAGTACAGTGATGCCATTGTCACAGGGCCACTACACGAGGAGTGTGACAGACAGGATCCGGGCGCCCTTTATACATGGAACGCTGTGCCCCGGCTTCCCATTATCTCCCTCCGTCCTGAGCACAGCATCCCTCTCTCCAGATATGGCAACTGAAGCTTTGGGAGGTGAGCTAGATTGTTTGAGGTCGTACAACTAGCTACTATAATAAACGGAATTTAAATCCAGGTTGGCAAGCTGAGTCACCCACTTAACATATTTCAGCACACTGTGCAGCATAGTAAAGGCCCAGCCTGCAAAAAAAAAAAAAAAAAAAAAAAAAATGAACTACAGATGTCAACATCTGCCTCCTAAAAAGGTTCGTGTTGTTCAATTTATCTTAGTCTCGCACCTGGTAAGTCTACGTGGATCACATATTTAATGTGTTACGAACGGGACAGTGAAGCAAAGGACAGTGGTCCTTAGGGGTAGCCACTGCTCACTTATATTACACAGAGTGAGTTCAACCCACTGGCCACAAGTCAAAACTAGCTCCAGAGATTGTGCCTGGGCTTATGGGGTTTCAGAGAAGGTTCTGGGTAGGCTTTGAGGATCCTCCTCCACCACACACACATCCCACATCACCACCCCATACTGGAATGAGTCGTGGCTGACATTTATGGACTCAAAGAAGGGGATCCATGTGGGGACCTGCCTTGAACTTTCCTATGACTCTGTCTCCGTCCAGACCATGATCATCTTCTGTAGATTTGCCTCTGAAGAGTTCAAAGGTCTTCACCCAGTCTTCAAAATTATTGAACTCACTCTCAAGGTCACCGTCATAGATCTTTAGAGAGAAGGAAGATTATACTAAGAGGAAGGAAGGTTAATTACTCCATCACCTTTAAATTCATTCTCATTCAAAGTTTGAAAACAGACACAAAACATAGACACAGTCTTCACCAGCATGGCCTCTGGCTCAATCCTCAGTAAAGTCCTTGTTCCTATCTGACACCTCATGAGGACAGTCTTTATTGACTACATTTCCATCAGCATCCTGGTCTATTGAGGTTCACCAGAATCATCCATTTCTGTTTCCTGTTAGCCATGAAGAGAATAACTCTCCCCTACCACATGCCCCTGACACCATGATGGTCTATCTAAGCACACGAGCTGAGCAATCATGGACTGAGCCCCCTGAAACCATGAGCCTAAATAAACCATCAGCCCTTCCCCCATGTTATTCTCACAGGCATCACCAGGTCCGAGCTATGCAACAAGAACTAATACAAAAGGTCTATCTAGTGCTGTTAATGAATCAGACCCCAGATTCTAAAAAACTGGCCTCAAAATATGCCTCAGGGAAAAGGTAAGATACCACTGTTGATTTATCCTTAACAAGATAAGGAAAGTGTTTGACTCAACACCCCGAAAGCTAACTACTATGAATTTTTTTCTTTTTTCTTTTTTCCAGAGCTGATGACTGAACCCAGGGCCTTGAGCTTGCTGGGCAAGCATTCTGCCACTGATCTAAATCCCCAACCTCCTATTATGAATTGTATACAGTCCTTTGCATAAAAAGATAGAATTCCGAGACATGTAGCCAACTAAAACCATTTTAAAGGGTTATTTATTTTTACATGTATGAATATTCTGCCTGCATGTATGCATGTGCCATACATGTATACCTAATGCCTGTGGAAGCCAGAAGACGGTGTCAGAACCCCTAGAATTGGAATTACAGATGTTGTGATCTGCCAAGTAGGCTTTGCAAACTGAACCCAGATCCTCTGCAAGAGGATTTTTATGCTTTATTAATGTCATTGCCATTAAGTATAGACTATAGTACTTTGGGGAATTTGGAGTTATTAACATTTATTAATTCATAGCAATTTAAGATGACAGAGTGTTTATTTTTATTATAATGCATGCAGGCATGAATTTTCTAAGTGGGAAATGATATATAGACTTTAGAAATGCAAAGTAGACTTAAATTTGAGGTTTAGAAATATCATCAAAATACTTATTCAAATTTCCCTTTAAAATTACTTACCCAACTCGATCATCTACATATGTAATTGCTGTAGTTCAAATTCTCACATCTATACATATGCCTCTAGGTCTATCCTCTCACTAATGTGAGGGCTGGTCTGATGGGGCTGACTTTGGTTAAAGTGCCTTCTATTTTTAGCGTGCACGAACCACATGATTGGTGTTGAGCTCCAAGAGGAGCTGAAGGGAACTTTTACACCGTAAATTACCTCCCAGGTTGCAGCTGAACAATGTATGTTATACCCTTTTGAATATAGGGCTGTAGAGAAGGAAAACGAACAAGCTTCATTGTCTTGACTTACATACATGTGAGACTTTCTTTCCCCACGTGAGTGACTATAATGAAGACAGCATGAATTAGTTCAAATAAAGTCCACCAAAGCACTAAGGGAAGCCTGCTGCTGAGTTCTGTGCCCCACCCTTGGAGGCCCTGTGCCCACAGACCTTCAAGACAGCCAGGTTTGGGATCCCGCCGTCATTTCCATCATCTTTCACTCTCTTCTTGAGGATTTTGTCTTTCTTCTTTTTGGGGCCATCATCTATATCCAACACTACCTCGTCTGGCTTTGCCTCTGTGGGTATCCGGCAGAAATTGTTATAGAACTGTTAACTTCAGTGTTAGTGCATATAGCCCTGGCGTTTGTATCATATGTAAATACAATGCTTGTGGCTGCGACGTGTTAACTGTGTGTACTGGCTGGCTTCCTGTTCCTTGACTTGAGTTAGAGTCACCAGAGAGGAAGGAACGTCAGTTGAGGAAATGCGTCTATGAGATCCAGCTATAAGGCATTTTCTCAATTGGTGACCAATGGCGAAGGCCCACCCCATTGTGGGTGGTGCCATCACTGGGCTGGTGGTCCTAGAGCAAGTCATGGGAAGCAAGCCAGTAAATAGCACCCCTCTGCGGCCTCTGCATCAGCTCCTGCATCCAGGTTCCAGCCCTGCTTGAGTTCCTGTCCTGACCTCCTCCAGTGATTGGACTATGATCTGGAAGTCTAAGCCAAATAAACCCTTTTCTCCCCAACCTGCTTTTTGGTTTGGTGGTTTTGTTGCAGTAATAGAAACCCTGAGTAAGACACTGGGCCATGTCTGTGCATGAATGCATTAAAACAAGCACAGAGAGGGTACGTTATCTGCCCTTTCACCCAGCTAGTAGAGAAGACACCTTGAATTTGGATGATCCTAAAGCCTTTTGTTCTCTTTCTTCATAAATGTCCTCGAGGTCTTGAGAGTCATCTAGTTCAACATGAGGCTCAAACATGTTAAGAGTCTTACACAAAATCTTGTTAACATTAGTTAGTAAAAAATTGGCAGCATCTTGTGAAGAAAAATGACTAGAGACAGACTTTGAGCTCTGCGGTTTCTAGTTGTGTGACCTTGAATGAGTAATGCCATTTTTGTATCTCTGTCTTATCATGTGTAAGATGAAGATGCTATCTGGGCTGGCTGGTCAGAGGAGGAATGTGAAATGAAGCATGCCAGGAGTCAGGCACTGTGTGTGTGTGTGTGTGTGTGTGTGTGTGTGTCCCTGTCATTCTTGGTTGACAGTGCTGGGCTGGATAACACTGCTGTAGTTATGCTGGGACTCGAATTGAGCTTCCCCAAGCTTCTTCCGTTGGCTTTGCCAGACCATATCTAACCAATCCTTGCAAAGTGAGTTTTGGATCCTGAGTCCAGATCTTTACACTCAACACCATTAACTCTTATCTTGTTGGTTTGGGCCTGTGTTTCCATCGTGACTGTTTTTTTCATCCTGCTGCTTCCACATGAACGCTCAATTCCATGAGCCAGTCAATTCCAGAAACTGATTTGAGTTACAGACTAGTTCAGCTCCAATACCGGTAAGACTTTGTTTTCTGGTACAATGGGACTGAACCCAAAGAATGCCAGGTAGATTCTCCCCTCCAGCCTTCTGGAAGTCCTTTGAAATGTGTTGCCCTCTTCTTTATATAAACAATGGAGCTGAGACATGACATACCTCCCATACTTTTTATTATGATGGTCCCATTCTACCTTCAAATATCCCCCCAAAAGCCACTTACCTGTGGCCCTTTTCTCCTTGGGATTGTTCTCCTTTTCCTTAAAAAGAAAGGAGATATGACTATTGACTCTGCTATCTCTAATTTACTAAGTCAGGGTGCTAACAGCTCTAATTTGATTATCCCAGCTCTCTGCATCCCCAGGAATGTCATTTAAAGAATACTAAAAGAGTCTCCAAGGATTCTCCAGAATGAAGAATGTGAAGGCATAGCTCCTAGCTGCAATGGCAGTTCCCTAGCCTTAGAGAATAGGCATCCATAGAGCCAACAAAAGTGTCACCAAGGTGAAGGCCATTGATTGTTCTCTGTGGACAGGCTCTTTCACAGCAATAGGGAAGACAAATATTTTATGCTTCCCTGAAGCACCCCACAGCCTGCCCTATGAGCTTTATCTGCTAACATGTTCAGCCTTTGGATGCGTACCAGGGGTTGAGAAGGGTAGTAGAGAAACAGCAAAAGGTTAACTATTTCTAGGAAGCGGAAGAACCCATTTAGCAAAAGGAAGGAGGGTAGAGGCAGGAGCTAGTGTTGATTTGTTTTTGGGTAGTCCTGGATAAAAATATAGTCTTTCTAAATTACAGACTTCTAACAGTCTCAACTATGATAGCCTGTGATTAATTCTTTTTTTTTTTTTAACTTGTGGCTGATAAATGGTACTAAAATTGGTCACTGAGCTGTTACTTGAGTTTCCAGGCCCATTCCCCATGGCTCTCCAGTGTTATGATTCAATTCTTGTATTATTAGTCCATGTACATGAGGCCCCACCGTTGCCACAGCAACCCACAAACTATTGCTATTTGCTATGCCAAGATCTACCTTTATGTGGATCATTTCCCCTACAAATGTAGAATTCTGCTGAAGCCCTCTGCTGTGGCCTAGGTATCTCCTGTTACTGATGCCCACTGTTGAAACACCACCTCTCCTTGGTGACCTCACTAAGTCTTAAAGGGATCAGATCTTGCATACACTGGCTATACTGAATATCCTTCTGGGATTTCCAATGGAGCTCGTGTCCTATGCTCCAGCTGGAGGGTGGAAATCTTGTAATCAGGACCTTTGTCTTCTAGGTTTCTCCCAGCTGCATTTAAGAATAGAACCACATCTTTTAAAGGTCATCTTTTAAAAATTAGTTCTTTGATAATTTCATACAGCCAGTTTTGATTCACCTGTTACCCAACTCTGTCCAAACCTACCCTTCCTTTCCTTTCTATTCAGCTTTGTGCCTTTCCCCATTAAGGTCAATGTGTGATTCCAAAATGTTCTGGGATGCTCAGCTCTAAAGGAGACAGTAATACTACACCTGTCCTTCAAAGGCTCAGGGATCACTGTCACAACAGGGCAGCTGTTCGTTTGGACTCATATCAGCTGTGACACAGCATGCACGAGAGCTTTGCAAGCCCAAGCCAGACCAAATCCCAGTGTGGAAAGAGGAGTTGAGCCTGAAGTTCTGCCCTTAGCCCAGAAGCAATCGCTAGCTGCTAGGAGAGGAAGGGTCGGGTTTCTCTAAGCCTTGGTAAGTGGACCAGACCACAGTAGAATGCCAGGCAGGAGCATGTCTGGGCCCCTAGGCTCATTCTGCTGGACTTTAAATGGAGGCATGTGGCCTTGAGGGAGAGAGATGACGACACATTCTCCCTGAGTCCCTTGACTGTCCCAGGCAGGGCAGACTCTACCTTCTGTGCTCTCTTTAGGGAGGCATAATATTTAGACCACCAGTCGATGACATTTTCCGCAGATTCGTCCGCTATAGTCCTCTTTCTCCTTTTGGTGGATCTCCGGGAAGGCTTCCTGGAATCTTGCTGAGGGATGAGAGATAGGTTACTAGTCAGGCCTTGTGAACATGTCAAGCCAACTGGTCATCTGAAGAATATATGTAGGTGCCCAGTGACAGGTGGACAGAGGTACCTGGTGGTTTTGTGGTAGAAATTCTCAATGTTGCTTCAATAAATGAGCATTTAATTATATTTTCAATCACAATTAATGAATTCAGTCAACAGTTATGGTGGTATGGTATACTGTGCTTGGTTTCAGAGATGCAATGGGGCTTCAACATAAATCTAGAGTTCAGAGGAGGAGATAGGCATTCAACAAATGGCTACCAGACCACGTGACACAATATTACATAATGGAAAGGGCATTGGCTGCATATGAACTTGGGTTAACAACCCCTAAGCAACTAATATGAAATGTGTGATTCTCTGTTTCTCAACAAAGGAATGTGACACTACTAGCTTACGTCACTGTGGGAAAGTTCTAGTGACAATGTAGGAACTCCCCAGTTGGCTCCATTTGGGATTTAAGAGGTGCAAGTAAGTGACATATAAAACATAAGTGGTGGGTGGTAGGAGATATTTAGTTATGTGTAGAAACTATAAATACTTATCTCAGAAAGGAGAATTTGGAGAAGACGGTTGTCACATTGGCAGTTGTCTATAAGAGACTCAATATGCACCCATTATCCCTCCTCTGACCAGCATCACTAGTGGACCTACTATGTGTCGAGTACTCTCTCAAAGACAGGACATACGAAGACACAATGTCATCCAACCTGGATTAACAGGTTTATGAAACTAACAAACTCTAAGACTGAAAATGTACATAAGTGTCTGATGCAAAGCCGGGACAATGAAGAGAACCTGGTGAGGGGACACTGAGGAAGGACGTGATGGGGACAGCCTGAGAAAACATCCATCACTACACCACAGTTATTTATTTCTGCATTTCAGTTTTTACTATCTACTGGGCAGGAAGCTGCTTAGGATTTGTTTTTGAGATGGGCTCCCATTATGTAGCCCAGGATGGCTTTGAATTTTTGATCCTCTTGTGATTTCTGGTGCTGGGATTATAGTCGACAAAGAAAGGTTTAGAATGATCGTGGGGTTTGCAATTAAATCTATGGCCTAAGAAGACTGACAGCGTCTGTGGTCCTCAGAAACTCCAACATTCTAAGCAGGACCAACCCTGCTTAGTTCTGAGGTCAGCAATCAAGTGTGTGCTGTGGCAGTCCTTCCAGAACGCCCTTAACTGAAGATGAAAAGTCTTTTTCCTGTTTAGAATTTAAAGGACACACCTTCTCGGCCATGTCTGACCTTGTAAAAAGGAGGCTTTAAATGTCTGAGCGGTAGTCCTGGATGAAGAAACCCTTGCCTTCCCAAGCTAATGAATTTGCAAGAGTTTCTGTTGCATTACATATTAATGTCACACCTGACTAACGCTTTAATTTCATCCACAGTGACTTTCCAATCCTCCGAAAGTACTTTGAGGTGGGCATCAATATCTTCCTTGGGAATGAGTAGGCTGATACACAGACGTGAAGTTGCTGGCTCAAGGTCACGTAGCTTGTGGCCAGAGAATTACTGTCTACACCTTCCAATGCAAACTCCACTGAGCCTGGTGAACAAGAAGCAGGGTTACACTGACTGACCTTGACTTTTCCATCTTTCGGTGGCTCCTGGGCTATAGGTTTGTGTTCGGGCTCCAGCATCGGAGAGGAGTCAAGGATGTCAACCAGGGTGGCTGTCTGGGCCTGCGCGGAGTCAGGTACCACTGTGGGAGGTGGCTCGACATCCACAAAGATGTGATCTGTTGGGAGATCCTGGGCGTTGCTGAGGATTTCGGAAGACCCTGTGGTTGCCGGTGACTCTGAAATGGTTGGATGACAGCTCATTCAACAGGGAACACAGCTGTTATAACTTTATTCAAGTGTGGCAAGTTCTTGACATTTCTAAACCTCATTTTTCTTATTTCTAAATAAGACAGTAAAACTGCCCATTTTCCTGGGGGATAAAATGAGATCATGATGCATGATGTCTAATATACAATAGGCAATCAATAAGCGGTTTTATTAATTATTTATCCCTTAGAGAAACTGTGGACACTGGGATCCTGAAAGCCAAGGTTTAGGACGCAGGTCCTCTGCATTGATTGTCTTTCCTAGTGTGTAAATCTGCATCGATTTTTGAGGTTTCGGCAGCCAATGAACTGCCAAGCACAGGCAGAACTCATGATCACTTGTGCTTGGTGGAAAGCAGAAGTATATCCTTGGACTCTGTGAGATTCTAACTGGGGCACTGATGTCATTAACGGGGGCAACACTGGTCCAAAGTCGCCAAATGACCTCTGCATTTCATGTTGTTCAACTCAGCACCCAGAGACAGTTCTCAGTCTGGAGTTTCCATGGCTGCCAAGGCCTTCAGGAGTTCTCGTTCCTCTGGGTGTTGCTCTCAACAGCAAAGCTAATCCAACAAACGCTCACAGGTATCTACTCCGTGCCAGACACAGAAACCGCACCTGAGGTAGATACCCACAGAAGAGCAACACCCCCATAGCCCAACAAAGCAAAACTCAACCTTCAAAAACTGGATGGTAGGAGGTGAAGAGGAAGGAACCTAGACAGAAGGCTGCAAGAAGAGGCAGAGGGGGCTCCGATGCAGCGACGGGAGAGGTGGAGAGCGGCGTAAATCAGTGCAGTCCTCCAGAGTACATTCTGTCTATATTCAATACAGTCACATGCACATTCCTTGGGACCAGCACTCTGACTCCTGGATAACTAGGCTGGAGGAATTCCCACACAGCATCTTCCCTTGGGCAACATACACAGGTACCTTGATCACAGGTAAAAATGTGCATGGATATTAGAATGTAGCAGTAAGTGAAAAGAACCAAAAAAAAAAAAATCACTCTAACACCATACCATGTGTGTGGATCAAATGCGCTTAAGTTTACAGGAGGGACTGGAAAGATGGCTCAGCAGCTAAGAGTGCACGCTGATTTTGCAGAAGACCCAAGTTAGGTTCCTAGCATCCATCTCAAGGGGCTCACAATCACCTGTAACTCCAGCTCCAGGGCATCCGATGTCTTATTTCTGACCTGCCTGCACACACACACACACACACACACACACACACACACACACACACACACCACAAACACATACTCCTCAAATCTTTAAGTTTTACAACAGCGTTGTTGAGAGGCCTGCACTGGGGAGGGGGGTGGGTATGACAGAGAAGACTTGAACAGATCAATGGTGATGACGGAGCTGAGCATGGAGCTGAGAGGCATAATTAACTCTGGCCACCTAAGAGCCGAAAGGGGGACCAACTAAATGCCAAGCATAAAGCCAAGAAAGATGGCGGAGAATGCACACTGGGTTAAGGAGTTTAGGGAATACTCAAGGATGCCTGAACAGAGGGTTTCATCCTGATATGAGTCTTTTTTTTTTTTTTTTTTTTTTCCAAGACAGGGTTTCTCTGTGTACTCTTGGCTGTCCTGGACTCACTTTGGAGACCAAACTCAAAGCAATCTGCCTGCCTCTGCCTCCCTGAGTGCTGGGATTACAGGCGTGTGCCACCAGGCCTGGCTCTGATATGAGTAATAATTCGGCAACTATGGCAGAGAGAACAGAGGTATAAATTCACCAGAAAGGCCCAGCCAGCCACTTGGACAGTCTTGGATACACCCACAGGTTCCAGGACTCTAAAGTTCTTTCCACTCTAGAATCTAGGATGTGCTTCCTACCTGGCCTGGCCCCAGCTCCATCTGTCTGTGAGGTCAGGCCAAGGGGCTCTCTGGCCTTGCACAGAAACTGCTTCAAACAGTTGATGGTGTAGGTGCCGACAAGGGTGCTTCTCCCGAAAGCCCTCCAGTCCACCACACAGATGCTCAGCGGTGGGTGCAGAAGCTCATCTTCAGGCAGCTCCTGCAGGAGAGGTGGAGGGGAGACGCTGAACCTGGGGAAGCCGTGCCTGCTCCGCCCTGTGGACCCAGCTACAGGCAGGCAGCTGAATGTTTGCTTCCCTTCTCCTGGCCTTGACGTTATAGTCCTCAGACCAGCTCTGCAACTTGCCTGAACTCTGGGGGACTGTCTTCCCAGGCCAGGAAATAAGCGCTAAAACTGTGATGAATATTTTCTAATAATAATTCATTCCAGGCAGAAATTCCAGAAAGATTTAGATTGCAAAATATCTCCCGTATTTCCATGGCAGTGTTTTCTTTTCTTTTTTCTTTTTATGTATGAGTGTTCTATCTGCACGTAAACCCGCATGCCAGAAGAGGGCATCAGATCTCAGTATAGATTGTGTGAGCCACCATGTGGTTATGGGAATTGAACTCAGGACCCTAGGAAGGGCAGGCAATGCTCTTAACCTCTGAGCTATCTCTCCAGCCCCCCCCCCCACCACGTGGCAGTGTTTTCAACTCTCTTGTTTTGTCATTACTGACCAAAACAAAAACAAAAACAAACAAACAAAAAACATTTCAAGCTACAGTTTAACTAGCCCCAATATTTGAACTACATGGAGGTCAAGCCATGTGTGGAGTTAAGGGGACAACACTCTACACACTTGCCCCCCTCCCCCACTGCCCCATGAGGATCCATGACTTCCGCTGTGGAGGCTTGCAGGCACTGCATTCTTTAGTGATCACTTAGAACAAACATCTGTGATGTTGAGTGGGTTGAACAAAAAAAAAAAAAAAAAAAACCTTCTTTTTTTCATAGTTAGTTCCAAACAATAGGATAAAAATATGTGTGCTGAAATACTGAAATAAATAAAAGCACAGCTGTCAAGAGATATAACTTTACACATGAGAACCACCAACACTCTAAACACAAGGAACGTTATTTAAATGTGGTCATCGAAGTACGTTTCTACAGCGTATTCCATAGCCAGCAGTTCTCAGAAGCAACTGGAGGGCCTGTTAAACCAGGAATGCCTGTGCCCCGCTCTAAACACTTCTTGGTTTGGTAGCCTGGGCTAGATGTGATGTTGTCTATTTCTTTTTCTTTGGTGTGTGGGTGGGGACGAGGGGGGCAGTGAGTACTGGGTATTCAGCCCAGAGCGTCACACATGCTAGGTAATCGCTCTGCCCCTGAGCTACATTATCAGCCCTATCTTTAGTTTTTATTTTTAAGACAAGGTCTCAGCTGGGTGTGGTGACACACCCATGCCTGTAATCCCAGCCTTGGGAGGCAGAGGTAGAGGCAGAGGCAGGAGGATCTCTGTGAGTTCAAGGCTAACCTGCTCTACATAGTAAGTCTAGGATAGCCAAGGCTAGACAGAGAATCCCTGTTTCAAAAAAATAAATAAATAAAAATAAAAATAAAAATAAAAATAAAAAGACAAGGCCTCACTAACTCACCCAGGCTAGTCTACAGTTCTCTTTGTAGCCTGGTGAGGCCTTGAACTTATGATCCTCCTTCCTCAGTTTCCTGAGTAGCTAGGATGACAGGCCTACACCAGATGCTTAGCTGAGAATGTGCAGCAGGTGAGGCTGGTGTGTTCTAAGCAAATGTTTTCTAGCTTTCTTCGATTCATTCTATGATCTAGACCCAAACATCTAAACAACAGATATCTACTTTACTCTCATTCTGAAAGCCTGGCTACTTGTGCAGACTGTGTACATCTGAAATCTTGAAATACCAACCCCCATCCCCCACCCCCAGGCCAATCGGGAGAAGGAAAAAACCCTTAGCACCCGAGGGAGGAGAAAGCCATACCACGTCAAAGGCCTCTGCCTGCACGGTGAAGTTAGGGTTGTTCTTGTAACTCTGGATCACACAGGACTTCACGCCTCTTCCCCCACATTCAATGAGAACCTGTGGCCGGTCCACAGAGAGGAGCTGTACCTTCTTCATTTCCCGGACTCCCCAGAAAAGGACCTGAGGAGAGGGCGGGCAGAGTCAGAGAGGAGCCTGGTGCATGGCCAATGGAAAAGGCAAACGTGACTCCTGGGAGTGAAAGTACGGCCTTTCAGCTGCAGACTATGTAGCTAGTGGTAGACCCTGTCCTGTCCAGCTCAGCTGGGTCATCTGCCCATCATGCCACACCCCTTCAACTCTGCAGGTGGGATGACCGCCCCTTATGAGTACTATGGCGCAAGCCGCCCCTCTTCCTGAACCATACCTCGACGCGGTATTTACTCAGCACCGGGCGGATGTTGGAGGGAACAGGATAGATCTGTGTGAAGTCAGGAGGGCCAATGGGAGGGAGGCCCTGAAGCCCAGAAGAAGGGACCTGTCACACAAAACAGCCGTTAGCAGACTTGAGGGAAGTGAGGAAGAGTAGTCTGGCTAGGCAGAACTTCCTCAGCAAGACATCTTTACAAGGACCTGGCAGCATATTGACCTTCAGACTGACTTTCAGTCAATCACTAATGATAAGAACCTTGATTGACAAGCAGGTAGTGAGCACGCCACGGGTATGCCACCCGGCTGGTAAGACAGAGCTTTCAGTGAACTTACAGCAGATAATGGAGAGGAAAAACCCCTCAAGTGCATAGATGTTCACAGCTTGAAAAAATTGTAGTGATGGATGCAAAGAGGGCTGTGAGCACATCCTAAACTTTTGATGCTTAACTACCCACTACCCCCAGAGACTCAAGAGCTCCAGAAAGGTCACAGTGCACAGCTACAGAACAAGGTTGTATTTAATGAAATAGAGACTTACTGCTAACCAGTGAAACAGAAAATAAAATCTTTTGAGTGAGGAACTCAGGAAGAAAATGGGTCACTTTTGTGCCCTTGGTCACAGTGAAGCTACAGGATAATCAGCACGTTTTGTAGAAATATCCCACAAAGAACCTAGACAATTCCACTAGAGGCAGGGATTTTCCCACATGTGGGCCACTTTGCCCTCTCTTTGAGTCCTACCTCGCTGCCTCATGTGTCAAGAAGCCTTCCCAGACTGGATCCCAGTTGTTGTGGCCATTTTCTGCCCTCTGTCCTTTGACTGCACTGCATCTTCTATGTAGGTAAAAGTGTGGGGGTTGGGCAACCAAGTGCAGAAAGTAGGCTTTTGTGAGCGACGCTCTGCTTTCCTTCTTAGAGCCTCAGAAATCCCGCTGGGCAACACTTCAGTCCTCCACCATCTGATGCTCTGTTAATTACTGCTTTGGAGTCTATGGCTCACCTCTGCGAGGATCTTGTCTGCCTGAAAATTCTACAGCACTTGGCCAAGAGGAACTCTTTCTTTACTTCATCTTGTTCTCCAAGCACTCAGGCAGTGCTGCACATACTGTGGCTTCCTGATACATGTTTACGAGCTGACTGACACATTAGCTTCATGTGCTAGAACATGCCTGACTGCTCATCAAAACTGGCAGAGCGCAAACCAACACCCGTTTCGTTATTACAGACACATTTGGGTTGACCATGGCAGACGTGGTTAGTCTAATTACACGAAAGCCCAGAAAAAGACAAGCAGACTCTACAAATACCAAACAGGCCAGAGATAATGAGGCTTTGGAATGAGCCAGAAAAGGAAGCTGGTACAATGAGGACGAGCGGGTACCCAGCTGCCTGGCCCCGCCAGCGTGAGTGGTGCTGTCTGCTGACGTCACCTCACCTGGGCCACTAACTGCTCCTCTAACTTTGGCTGTAAAGCCACGGAAGAGCTAAGAGGCGCGAGGACAGGCGCTATGTGTTTCTTCTCCCTTGTAGTTCTTAGAGGGCATATAGTTATGTAAAGTCGTGTGTATATATAAGACATGAAAGTAGACGTGAAACTGTCTGGGTGAACAGAGGGGACTAGGATGAGGGGGAGTGGGGAGAAAGGGAGGGGACATTGTGTACGAGTAACCTTATGTAACCCAGCACCATGCATAACGAATAAGGAAAAACCAGCTGAGGCGGTGGCAGGGAACGAGCCTCCTGTGGATGTTCTTTTCATTCTATTCCATTTTGACTTACGGCAACTATGCATATTTATGATGTATACTTTATGTATAAGGCGGAATGGCTCTTTAAATAGTGAGGAACGATCAGATGGGCCACTTGGACAGCTTTGGATATCGATCATTTCTTTGTATGTGGATATTAAAAACCCTCAACTTCTACTAGTTGTGTTTGTCCTGCCGCCAGAGGACGTTAGAAATTATCCCTCCCACCCAACTGAAAGAGTTAATCATGTTTTCTGTACTCCACTCTCATCCTTCGAAGGCTCCAAGAACCATTATTAAAGATGCTTTATGAAATGACATCACTTATGGGGCTGCAGAGATGGTCCAGCAGTTAAAAGCACTTGTTCCCTCACAGAGAACCCAGCTTTGGTTCCCAGCACCCACACGGTGACTTACAACTATGTGTAACTCCAGTTCCAGGGGATTAAATACCCTCTTCTGTCCTCTAGAGGCAGCAAGCATGCAGAAAGCGCACATACACGGGTGCAGGCAAGTGCGTATACACATAAAATACAAACAAACGTTTTGAAGGCAGATTTTAAAAAGAGGAAGTGTGTTTCCTTATCCTGGAAGTTCTGAGATGTCAGCCTGAGCAACCCCCACAAAAGGCATACATTATGACTTTAAATATTGACACCCCCCCCCAGCTTCCATGGGATCCCACAGTGTGGTGGAGCGGCTGACAGCCAAGGTTAAGCTTCCTCACAGTGCAATGGGTCTGTGTGGCCTGTATAAATGGTATGCAGTTGCTCAGTGCATGGGACCTGGGAAATGAGGGACTGTTATGAAGGTGAAATCGACTCAGGGGCAAGTGGAATGACTTGTGAAGGACAAATTGCTCTAATATCCCAGGGAAGATGAAACATGAGGAGCTCATAGAAGATCTGGCTGCACGAACGGGTCAAAGGTGAGGCAAGTAGGTACCTGGTGCAAAATTAGGGATCTCTGCATCTCAGCCCTGCCATTGGCAGAGTGCAGACAGGAATATCCACATCTCAGAGCTGCTGTGGAGAACTGTAGAGAAGCATGTCCAACACTCAGATGCTTTCTCCACAGAGAATGCGTTAGGAGTGAAGGCAAGCTGCATGGGCCTTGCAAAGAGCAAGGCTCCACCTTGAGTTGCCTCTTGTTGAATGGAGTCCATTCTGGATTGCTGCTGTGTAGGGTGGATGAAATCCCGAGTGACTATATTGTTGACATGACCACCGCCATGTCAAGTACTCCAAGGCCTCAGACCCATGGGACTGGCAAGGCCTTCCCCTGGTCTGAGGATAGATATTGACAGTATATGCACCATGAAACAACCACAGCTTCCTCCCCGCAGAGTGTCTACAGCCTGAGACTGCTCCCTGACAGAGAGCCCTACTGAGAGATTAGCTAAGCCACACCCTCATTCAGCAGTATATAACAAACACTGGCTTTCCAGCCTGCTGTTGTTTCTCCATCAGAGTGCACGGCCCACGACATCTTGGATTTTTTTTCTCTCCATGTGTTCTTCATTTGTTATTTCCCCAGTTCCAGAACTGTGCAGGGTGAGGCGCTGGTGGCTTCAAAATAATTCTCTAGAGGGAAACAATATCAGTATGGGCTCCAATTTCTCTGCATATTGTTATATACAATGTCCATAGTGAAACAAAACATGGTGTGTGAGGAGACAGGATAATGTCGTCAAATACCACGAGGAAACACAACCAAAGAAACAGATCCCAGGGGATCTGGGTAGCATCGTCACCAGACATGAACTCCACAACAACAGTGCTTCATCTGTCCAATAAAAGACACGACGAAGGGTTTCAGTAAGAAGGAGGAAATGGAAATTCTATGACCGTACATACAGCCACCAGAAATAAAAATCTTGGCGAACGTTCACATTTTAAAGGAACAATAATAAGAATAACACACAACTTCTCAACAGAGAAGGGAAGCTCAAAGGCAGAGCAGCGTCTGGAATACGGAAAGAAATTTGTCACCAACTCCGGCAAACAAAAAGATCTCAGAGGAAGTATTTTATTTTGGGTCCTAGCTGGAACAGTAAATGTGTGAGTGCATCTCTTCTAGACCTAGACCAGGGAGACACTGCAGCGGCTGGTGCTCCCCAGGAAGGAAGCGTGAGAGCAGGGATGTGTGCGCACTGACGTGTTAGCCACCAGAGGAGACAAGCGCCATCTCTGCCATCCTCTGATGACTCAAGAAGAGACTCCCGGGGTCTGAGCAGAGTCTTCCAGAATATCCAGAGTCTTCTTGTTCTCCTGACCTGTCTGTCACCAGCTTCTTCCAGGTGAATGGCAAAATCCATATTAGCATATCCTTAATTGATAACTTTCAAACAGGGAGAACATACAGAAATGCTATGTAAAAAGAATCCACTCACTTAATTCAGATCACTAGTGAGATGGTTTAATGAGCAGCAATCACAAAGGAGGAAAATCCGACTTTCTTCAAGCCGGGGGGACTTAAGCAAAAGGCAAGAACAATACAGCTTTTCCTTAATCTGTATCAAAGAGACAAAGATTTAAAGTGAATGGGAAAAATGGACAGAGCTCACATGATGGTAAATGAAAGGTTCCTGGGACGTGGGATAAGATCTCAGAAGAGATTTCTGTGGCAGATATGCCACAGAGGTCTATAAACGCTACACGCTGAGCAACTCCAGGGGCTGCAACTCTTGGAACTAGGAATGGCCCCTGCTTGGGATTTGTAGGGAACTTGCTCTGCAGTAAGGCAAGACAGCATCTCTAGAATTTGGAAAGTATGGCAGACAGACAATGGAAGCAATCTCTGTGTTTTGTCTGCTTAGGAACATTCCTCGGGAATCCCCACACACAGTAGACCCTGGATAAATACATGTTTGGATGTATGGATTGATGAGCAACGCGATCCTTGTCTTCAACTAGCTGACCCAGGAGGTAAGGACTGATTCAGTTGCTTACAAGCATCAGGCATGGACTGAACAGGAAAAGAGGCAAACGAGCAGGATGGGAGTGAGGTGGAGTGGGCAAGCTGGAACAGAAACCTGTTGCTCTGGATTTTGATAATTCATTCTCATTGGCAGGTAAATGGCTCTGCAGGAGCTGAGGTGGGCAGAGAGGGGAGGTATTTCAGAATGAGTTAACAGCTTGCCTAAGAGCAGGAGAGTAAACTTATGAGCACCAGGAACCTGGAGTGGCGGCGCATAAAAAGGATATGGCGGCTGTAAGGTAAAATGCATACTAATATGTGACCCTGAGAAAGGAGTTTGAGGACAACTTTTGAGACAGCTTAAAAGCCAGACTGAGAATTTTATATTCATGTATAGTCTGGATTTTTCTCTCCATGAATTATTGGCCATTATAATAAAAACAAAAATGGCTTTGGAAATGGCAGGTTTTTAAGAAGACAGTTTAAAGACATTTTTAAATGTTCTTCAGAGAGCATTTACCATGATAGCAGGTATTTTAAATCCCCAAGAGAAATGTTACAAGAAGCACTTCTCAAACTCTGTTCACTGCATTTGAGAGGAGGAAAATTCCTTTAAGAGAAGGAAATTTTTGTAAATGGTCTCATTTACCAAAGGAGTGGGGAGCAGCCGAAGACGTGAAGAGAAGAGTGGCATGATCAACTCAAGTTCTGGAAGGGATGTGGAGAATGACAAAAACAGGAAAATGATTGACATGAGAACTAAAAGAAAATTCCAGGAACAGAGAAGATGAGAAACAGGCATAGAAACAGCTACAGAGCTGCTCAGGCCTTGGCCATAGTTACCGCGTACAGAATTATGCCTGCTTTCAGAACTCAGCCTGAGGGCCAGAGCTAACATCAAGGGATGGGCTAGGACTGAGAAAAGAGAGGGGCAGTTAGTGTGGGTGGCTGACAGAGACAATGGATTTGATGGGTACATAGAAGAGCCATGCCATCAACTCCTGTGTCAGGGGAGTATTTCAGCATGGGAAGCAAGGAAGTAAATCATCCACAGACCCAAAGAGGTACTAGCAACTGTGTCAAATGAAGTGTGCTCATTTGACAGTCCAATGTGTGCTCAGCATGCCTGAGCTCCACCTGCTAAGACAGTCATGTTGACAATTAAGTCACTTTTTGAACAAGTGATCAAATGAGAAGTCCGAATGAAACCCCTGAGGATTGCCTCTCCTAAGCTCCCTACTTCTGGCAACGCTCCTTTATAAGTCTCAGCAGTGTGTCCAGTTCATGTCATCTTTAGGGGTCAACGTGTTCGACCCCTCATTGAAGGACTACTGAGAGACTTGGAGACTTGGGCTAAGAGCGCTTATAAAGGGTAGCTCTGGGCTGGGAAGAGCAGTGCCTAGATCCAGCTCAGCTAACCTGGTACCTCAGCGTTCTCATGCACACCAGGTCCACTTCTCAAAGTCAGCCACCACCTCCCTCGACGGTCAGTGCTCTGGTAGCCTTGAAGAGAATGTGGACTCCGCTTTGTTTGTTAAAAGGAAATTTTAAACGAACTGGGTGAACTGTAGCTGAATTCACTACAGCTTCAGTGGGAGGCTCTGCCTCAAAAAATAAAGTGGAGAGTGATTGGGGAACACATCTGACACTGTCTCAGGCTCCACATGCACACATACATGTACACATGAACTTACATATGGATGCACACAAATATGTACAAATACACACAACACATACACAAATACACACAAAAAATTGTTATTGGAATATGTAATATGAAGCAATTATTAAGCTTCCCATTCACTAGATTTGGAGGAACTGAAGTTCTAAGAAGACTCAGGAAATGCCTTTGTGTAGCCATTGAGTCTGAAACTGCTATCTCTTGGGAAGGGAAGTTTATCAGTTGATGTAATATTATACCGGGACAGAAAGCAAAGCCTTAAGGGAGAGCAGTAAGGGCAAAGCTGCTTGTGTCCAGATTCAGCGTTGTTTGGTATCTGTCTGGGTGTGAACCAGAAAAGCTTGCCTACAACTTATGACTCTCATTTGAGGAGAGACGGGAGCAGCTGGCTTGGAAGATTGCCTTCCGTTCCGACATCCACACACCTGGCTGGCACACGCCTATCTGGCTACAGATGGTGTTATTGGAGACCACTTATTTTATCACCCTGGCATCCTAAAACCTAATGTTTGTAAGAGAAATGTCTTCCTGGTTCTTCTCCTCTACCCTGCTAGACTTCCGTACTCGGAGCGGAATGAAGCTAGTTTTTGATTTCTCATCACCTGACTCCTACTTAGGCAGACTCAGTTTCCCCGGCAGAGTTTACTCTTTCTCCAAAGCTGCCGTTTTCTCCATAAAACGTTCTTCCTCAGGTGACTTGGAACACAGATGACAACGTGTGATTGGGCGGTCTAAAGAATGCATCACTGCATCTGATGGCAACACCTAGGCTGCAGATGCGAAGAGAATTTGGGTGTGAATACAAGTGTGTCTAACCAAAATCTATCTCTACAATAATTAACACTGCCTAGACCTCCATTTTGGCTAGAAACCTGTCTACCCGGAGTCTAGATTCTGACCTGCCATGTTGACTATGTCGTTGCCTTTCTATCCTTTCCAATTTCTAAAATCAATAGCTGGGAACAAAGGTCTTATTACCCTCCCACCCACATGAGGGTACACAGAGAAGGCAGCCATCTATAAACCAGGTAAGCCACATCTATCAGTGCCTTCTTGAACAGCCAGCCTCAAATGTGACAACATCTAGAAAACAATACTGGTTGTTTAAGTTCTTCAATCAATGACATTCTGCTATAGCATCCTGCATGGACTAACAGAAAAGACTGGCCTGATCCAAAAGCAAAGAGTCACCAGTGACTGAAGCCTCAGAGAGGGTAGGGTCCAGTAGAGTAATTTCCAGCAGGCCCATGCTTCCTTTTTCTTTGTTCTCAAGTCTCAATGGTTCTCTAATAGACAGCCATACTTCAAAAACTCAGCTTTTCTTCCTATGAGAGGGTTTTTGTACACACACACACACACACACACACACACACACACACCACCCATACACCACACAAACACACACACACACACACCCTCTAGGACTTCAGGAAAGGACTAGAAATTCTTTGGCCTTGGGAAACAATGTGATATAATGCAAGAAGTGAAAGATTTAAAAGCCAAGGTTCAGAGCTCAGTTTAACTGTCTATCTACAGCAGGAGATGAGGTTGGCCAAGTGCTGCAGCCCTCAGTTTGCTGTCTCTCAAGTGGGAATGGTAATGTGTGTCTCCGGAGGCTCAGGATGGCCTAGAATGTGGACATATATGAGATGCCACAACTATACCTTCAGGCACACAGCAACTACAACCACAAATGTCCAATGCCTTCTTTTGTCATATCTGTATACGGTCTGATAGAACAGGGAGGGACTTTGATATAGCTCAAAACACTGATGACCCAACCCTCAAGGACCTTTCGTTCTAGGATTCTGATTATGGTGCAGCAGTTCTGAGAACACCTGATGTTATCAAAGCTTTTGAGCATCAGCTTCCAGATGCCCAGAAGAAGATCCCCCGCAGACATGGAATGACAGGGATGGACCAGGCATTGCCTCACTAAACATCACATCCAAGAAGCTGTCTCTCTGGCCAAGCAGGGCAGAAAGACATCTGGTAGACATGCCCTGGACATCTTACCTGCAACAGCTCAAACACAGCAAGGAGGTCCCCTCCAGAGAGGTTCCCACAGAAGATGGGGTGATAGCACAGCTTTGGGGGCACATAGTCCTGGTCAGCTAGCGTCACAACTGGAGCAGCCACCGTGGCACCCAGATATTCTGGTTTCCCCTGAAGAAGAAATGAGTTTTTAACGGGCATCTACTATTTCTGCTCAGCATCAGTGCAACTTAGCAAATCATTTTTACAATGTTGCCAGCATCGTTTCCTTCTTACCTTCTACCAGGCACCTCTTGCCCACTCTTACCCTCAGCGTGGGGGGAGGGGGCAGAGGGTACTCTCAGGATCCCAGTGAAACACTAAAAGAATAACCTTGGGGCTTTCCCTGATCCAAGTCTCCTTCTATAGAGAGATTAATGAATGTGGCTGACCAGAGTGAATTGGGAGGGGAAAGAGAAACTACAAGACAACCACAGACATTCCAGAGGGGTCTCTGCTGTGAAGAGGATCGTGAGCTGCAGAGCTAAGTAACCTGTAGGTGTGTGGTCTCAGAGCTGCCTCTCTCTAGCTTTGTGACCTCTGCCAGGTACTCAGCCTTTCTGAGGCTCATAAACGGGGCTAAAGCTTTTTGTTTGTTTATGACATTACAAGAAGTAATGTAATCTTAGATATCGTTTTTATTATGTGCTTAATATACGGTGATGGGCTGCTAATGGTGATGACTGACGCCAGTATGTTTCGGTGAGGGGAGTAAAAAGGGGAAATTACCTTTGCATGTGTGTACCTGTATGGCTTCAAGTTTCTTTGAGAGCTGCTTGACAGCACTTGCCTCTTCCCCAAGACAGCTCTCAAGAGTCAGGTCCACGCTCCTCCAGGAGAGGCAGGAGCTATAGTAGCTATGCTGTTTTGCTATTTATCTCAGGAATCATAAGAATTCAGGTTCCATATGGGAGGGGCTGCCTGCTTCCTCTACTGCCGCATCCCCTCGCCTGAAAACCCAGTCGATGTGCATTTGCTGAGTGACAGATGGTAGACAGATCTGCTTAGTTTAAGGACAGTGCCCATGTTCGATTTTGTTTTAGGCCAGGTTTTAGCAGCCATGCCTCGTTATCGTCTTTGGGTTCACGAGCCAGCGCTTGCCTTGCTGCTAGGGAAGGGGGTGGAAACGGCTTTAGCTCAGCCACACTTGAAAACAAACAAGCAGGATAGCCTGCTGCTATCCGTTGGGAGAACGAATGGAATGGATGGAGTTAGGACAGTTTGGCATAAAATGAGTGATCTGCTTAACAATTAGTTTGCTAATCATTCTTACTAGAAATAGTTAACTCAAACTAGTGTTAGGAATGTAAGAGTGAGCATAAACCCAAGCAGCAGCCAATTCGCCAAACGGGAATGCATTTCCTATAGTGCCAGTCAACCCTGAGGGACCACAAGCCACTGGAGAGTAAGAGGAAGTTCTAGACTGAAAACATGGGCCAGAAGAGCTCAATTCTAATAATCTGATTATCATATTTTAGTTCACCCTAAAGGCAGCCTAGAGACATAAACAAAAATCTTATGTATGTCTCCCCATATTTCTCCAGGGGGAAAGCACAAACTTTCTGTATTGTCTTTCTTTCCTACAGTTCTTTATATTTGAAAGCATTATTATTATTATTATTATTTGTGTGTGTGTGTGTGTGTGTGTGAAGGAAATGGCACCACTGAGTGGGGATCTTAAAAGAAAGTGGGGATCTTAAAACAGCAAGTGGTAGGCAGTACAACAGCTAGCAGGCAAAAAATTCCATGGATTTCAGATTTCTTTTCAAATAGAAAACAAATACTTAGGGTGGGAAGCATGTTCCCGGGAAGAGGAATAAAAGGATATTTACTTTGTGGGTCTTCCTCCAAAAAAATCAGTACTGCATGCTGAACAGGGGAAACTGAATTTCATAAATACATACATCAGCCCCAATTTATAGCAGGGATGACGGGGTGGTGGAGGAAGTGGGGAGGTGGGGAGATATCATGCTCACAGCACTGAATGTGCTGAAAAGAGTAGGAGTTGAAAGTTCAAGTCCCAACCCTTTCTCTTGCTAGCTGTGGCCTTAAAGAAGGCATTAGAGAACTTTCCAGATATGTCCTCCTTTCTAGAGAGCAAGAAGGGCTGGACAAGCCTTCATGTTTCCCAGGGTCCCTGCAACTCTTGTGAATCATGCATCTTGTCTCTCCTTGGCCTTGTCTCATCCCAGGGTTAGTGGGAGCACACGAAGAGTGAGGAGGCTTTGGGAAATCTTTTCAAAACAACCATTGTGCTTTATCTATTTGAGATTCCTCAGGCAGTAGAGATGTCAAGTAAAAGATAGAAATCTCTGTCATCCACCGTAGACTTAACTTCTTCTTAACTTAAAAAGAATATTTGTTTTAGTCACTTAGACCAACCTGTCAGCTTTGGGGGTTACCCAAGGTTTCAGAACATGAATGTCTATGGAGAGGAAGACGTTTGGTTTGTAATTGAGATAAATATGCAGTTGCAGGGCCAAATAAAGGAAGAGATCCAGTTACAAGGCTGACTCCGTGAAGATGCCCATGCATTTCTCTCCAGCAGGACGAGAGCAGCACAAACCATTTTCCAACAGGTTCGGAGGAGTCTTATAAACAGCAGGAACAGAGGACCAGCTACAGGTTTGCTGTAGTTGTAGATTGGCTTTATGTAAGTATCACATCCTTACAGAAGTGGGCATTGACTGAGTTTTGCTGATTAGGTGGGATTTTGATTGTACTTTAAAGGGAGCTCTGAAGAACAGACCTTAAATAAAGCAGTGACTATCATCATCATGGTTCTGTCTATCATGGTGTGCTGTGGTCAAAGCCATCACCGGGTGCATCAAGGGTCCTGAGCCCTCACAGGGTCAGGACTCTATTGACTTTCGAATAAAGTCAGCTCAGGCAGCAGAGCATTTGGAAGAAGGAGCAGTCAGTGCCGCCTAAGGACACTCACCACAGCGTCACTGTCGTAGAGCTCCACCACCACGAGGGGTGGGGACTCCGCCAGCTCCCTCTCTTCACCGTGCAGAACCAGCTCGTTGAATAGCAGCATCTGGTTCCAGGTAGGAGAGAGAGTCTGGGAAATGACCTGGAAGAAAACAACGAAGGAACTGTTCAACTGAGTCATTCTACAGAAACATGGAGGGCAAGGAAAGTCCGTGGCTGCTGTTTGTTACATGCAAAGTCACAGTCTCTGGCAAACGTTGTATCCGTAATGTGTTATTGGCGGAGTACTGCTTAATGACACATTTGCATAAACAATATTGGTTCAGCCTGGGGTTAGGATGGCGTCAGTTGCTTTTTACTGAGTAATTATTGTCTGCTCCCAATGTAGCACTGTGCACGCAGTGTCTCATTCAAGCCTTGAATGAGTACAGTTGTATACACGCACGTCAAAGACAGAGAAACAGGTTTACATAGGCAGAGTCTACAGGCGATGAGCTCAAATTCCATCTGGATCATCCACTTCCACCAGGTAACACTACTAACACCTCTACTTTAGGGATCCCCTCCCCTGAGAAGGGGGAGGGGATCAAATACAATCAAAGTCCCTGATGTTGACCTTCAAATCCCATATACTCTATGTAGGAGTCTACAGCTTTGTGGCTTGCACTGACTGTTTTGAATAGCCTTCAGAGCAGCCCTCACCATCTGACATGTCATCTTTCTTTCACAGGAGTTGCTGCGGCAGCAAACCGTGACCTGGGTAGTGGGCTGTACCACCATTCAAACAGAGGAGACTAAAAATCAAGGAAGGATGCTAGCTTGAAGAATTGGGCCAGAACCATCAGGGTCTCACCAGAATCAGCCCATGGCTCTCTTCCTGGACTGTTCAAGAGGGATCTTTGGAAGGGAGAAGGTTATCGAAAATTGAATTTCTTCCTGTGTTTCTTTAGATATTTGGAAAAAGGCCAATTTCGCAAGAGTGAAAGGCTGAGCCGTTTGCAGGGTAGGTGGTCCCACACCTGGGCAGACAATGCCCCATCAATACGTGCAGCCTCTACTGGAAAGAGTCCACGGGCACAGCTCTCTTCCAAGCTATACAACCAGATGGGTTTCATAAGTGAAAGCATTCGGCAGCTGCTGGATCCTGGGGAAATTTCCACAGCACCTCTGAACTGTTCCTTACCCGCCATTGCCCACTCCAGGAAGGCTGAAAGAGAGGACTGGCCTTCCCTAACCCTCAGACTCCCATAAAACTGCCAGCTCAGTTATATAACCAGCCAGCTCCAGTTACGGCATTAAATTGTTTGCTCTGTGGGCACGGAAGAATATCTTTATAGTTCTTTACATAAGCCGTAAGAGTATTGTGTGCCTGTGGTTTTCTTCCCTTCTTGAGTTTTTATTTTAGAATATTTCATGTCTCAGATACAGTGAAGCTTTAAAATGCTTCTGAGGAAATCTCACTTTTCTGACATAAAAAGATTCTAAATTCAACCAACCGATAAACACGAGTGACACAATTGTAATGCAAAGCTGTGTGCTTTTATGTCGGTCTTGAAGAGACAGGTGAGCCCTCTGTGGCATGCACCTGACTGACAGAAGAATGTCAAAGCATTCTATAACCTCCACAAGTATCTTCCCTATGGGAACATTTGAATTGCAGCCCTGGAATGTGGCTGGAAATGCCATTGAATAAGATTCCAGAAGCCAGCATCCATTCAATCTTCATCCACTCATTCAACTTGCATCTGCAGTGGGCTAGAACGCATCCTCGGCATAATGGGTGCTTGACAGCCATTTTGCATGGACAGATGAGAGGGAACTGACCTGTCCTCCAGGTTGCCGCCATATGTAAAAATGTCACCTGGTCGCTTTAGAGCAGTACTTAATGGCTCACCCGAACAAATATCTCCTACGTCTTTGCTCAGCTACTCAGGATTAGCCTTGTTTCTTAAGGGATTCCTTAAGAAGCTGTGCACTGAGCTGAGTTTACAGCAGCGGTTCTCAACCTGTGGGTTGCAACCATCAGAAAATACATTATTTCTGATGGGCTTAGAAGCTGAGACACTGCTCAAAAGTAAAATTACAGTTACGAAGTCATAATGAAAGTAATATTATGGTTGGGGGTCACCACAACATGAGAAACTGTGTGGAAAAGTTGCAACATTAGGAAAGTTGAGAGCCACTGAGTTAAAGCATCATCTAGAAGTCTAGGATAAGACTTGGCTAACACTGTGAACAGTTAATCAGATGTCCTGGATAGAATATGGCAGTAGGAACAAAAACCCTAAAAGGAATCCAGGTTTAATTAACCACCTTATGACCAAATTGCACAGATGACTTAATGTCTCCAAGCCTTACTTTCCCATTTTTAATTGGGCTAACACCCATCTTGTTTGAGGTAAAAAAAAAAAAATATTCATTGCCTGGCATACAGTAGGTGCTCAGTAAATACTTGCTACCCTCCCTAAATGCATTCCATCTCAGTCCATATTTGCTGATAGTGAGTAAACACTTAGGGGAAGGGATGTGGTTCTGGAGTAGAGTATCTGCCTAGTATTTGTCAATCTTGGGGTCCAATTATTTGCAAAACACACACATACACACACAAATTGCCTACCTATGACAGTCTTGGCACCACTGGGTGATCTTGTCTAACCATCATGTCTTCAGGACTAGGCATCAGTCTCATTGTTGGGAAGCCCAGGCTTAACAAAATCCACTGTCTAAGATGCCCACCCTCCTTCTCTTTCTGTCATGTTCCCTTATTCACATCTGACACCTCTCCTCTTCAGCTCTCAAACCCTTTCTGTGTAGGAGCTTTCTCCTCCTTTCCTTTATCCTTCAAGTCCTATTTCACCATAGTGTCTGCAGTAACTCTGAAACATCCCAGACCATCAAGTCACAAGACCATCAAGTCACACCTGCCCCTTACAAAGGACACCCTTTAGAGGCTGGTTCTTTGGAGCACTAGGAGCTCAGTTCTCCTGGGAACCAGTGCCAGCCCATAAGGATGCTACCTTATGAACATCAGGCTCTGCTGTTCTGGCAGGGTCTCACTCGGAGCATGAAGGAGGCCTGCCACAGTCCCAGACCGGGCCATCCAATGTAGCCCAGCATCCAAGGAGAGAGAAACCTGGGGGTTTTCTAACCAAAATCAAGACAGAGTGGCTAGGCCAAGGTGGTCTCAGAACTGGGGAGACCTCAGTCTCCATCGTGGTCCACTGTGTCCAAGCTGTGCAATCTCTGATTCTCACTTCTTTATCTCCAAGATGGGAACATAAGAGCATGTGTCCCCGACTTACCGCAAGGGGCGGGAAACAATGTACAGAAAATGTTTATTGTCGTGTCTGGCACGTGAGAGCTTTGGATAAGTGGCAGCTACTATTATTAGCAAAAGTTGGGTACGTGATCCAAAATTAGAGGAAAATCCAAGGTTCAACAGAACCTATTTCCCTTTCACACAATTATTTGATAAGCCAACTCCATCTGTTTCTTTGAAATATGAATCTAAATTAAACCAAGGTGCTGTGTGGAGATGAAAACCAGCAGGACAGTTATGTGGCAGTCCAGTGAGCTTACTCAGACTCCTCCAGGGTCGCTTCAGAGGGCCTGGAATTGCATGGTTGAGGCAACTGGATGGTCCTTGGACCTGCCTTCTGAGACAGCTCTTGTCTGGGGATGGCAGCTGCAGTAGCAGCCACCAGCAGCCATCGGGTAAAAGCCGTTTTAAGCTGTCAACATTTCGTGTTTTATGAGGGAGACGTATGTGTCACTATCATGCCCAGCACAGATGAAGGCAGTGAGACCTAAAGGAATTCTGTTTAGCATCATCTATCTAGTAAGTAGAAGATGCTGGATTTGGAACCAGGGAAACAGAACTCCATGTTTGTGTTTTGATTTGGGGTGTGTGTGTGTGTGTGTGTGTGTGTGTGTGTTTGTAGAGGGAGCACATGTGCAGATGTACATGCGTGTGCATGTACATGTATGTGGAGACTAGAAGGCCATCACTGGTGTCGTTTCTCAGAAGCCATCCATCTTGTTTTTTGAGACAAGCACTCTCGCTCATCTAGGAGTTGGCTGGCAAGCCAGCGAGTCCCCACAACCCTCCCATCTCCACCCACCACCCCCGTGCACACCTCCACGCCTGGCTTTTTACCCAGGCTCTGGCGACAAACTCAGAATCTCCTACTTGCACAACAAGTGCTTTACAGACAGAGCTATCTCCTGCCCCTCTCCAGGACCCAAGCGCACAATCACTGCCATATGTGTCCTCTCAAAAATCATCAGAGAGGAAGGTCTTCTGCTTTCTCATTCCCTTTACACAATGAATAAGGTTGGAGACACCTTCCTCCCAAGGACTCTCTGAGACAGATGAACTGAGCTCCCCATGTGACTCCTGTAGGCCTCTGCTCAGCCCTGCACAAAGGGCTGATGAGCACAGTACAAGCAGCCTATCAGCCTGGAGGACCACCTCCCTGTCTGCAGGATCAGGTTCTAGCCTACTCCCTGTCTCCTAGAGCCCATGCAGAACCAGTACTCAACAGGCACAGCCGCTGGTTCCCATCATGTTCTTGGCTTCTGTGTGATAAACCAAAATATAGTTAAATCTATCAACTAGGTCATCGGGTTTGTCTTGGAAAAGAATGTGTGCCTTCTTGACATCAGCCAATATAATGGCCCCCATTCATCGGTCATTTATGCACCCAACTTTTCACTTGCTCACAATAGCTGTTTTAGAACCACAGAAGTGGGGCCTAGTGAGCCATTTGTCTGGAGACACACAGCTACAGAGACAAAGCAGAAGATGGCCTTGCATCTGAGATGGCCAACTCTATATGATCTTACTCTTCCCCAGCCAATGACTCAAGAACAAGAAAGGCTTTCATGAGTGCGACCTAGGGAGAAGATACCTGCAGGACTTCCACTGACTAGGAACCCTTTTCCAAGCTAGAGCTTAGTGTGTGAGACAGGCAGGAAGCAGAGGAAGTGACCATCTGCCCATCTCCTGTAACACAGCACCTGTCACCAAGGGGTGTTCTCCAGGGGAGAGCGCTTGAAGCACATCTCTGAGAAGCAGCCTAGCTGATAAGTGTAAAGTTCAGAACTTCCTAATCAGAAAGCTAGACCCTTCCCCCCCAGCAGGTCCCCTGAGGTGATGACAGACTCAGGTCTCAGGAACACTGTGATGGTTCCTCCTCTCTCATTCTTTCGGTGCCCAGAACTCCTGCAGGTGCCCAGGGCATGCCAGGTTCCTTTTATTATTACTATTTTTTCTGCCTTTGTTTTGGCATTAGGACTTGTCTATCTGTCTTAGGTAGTGGCTCAAGGGGACCAATAGATCCTCCCTGCCTGTCCTTCCTGGCCCACTGGCTTCTGACTGTGCACTGGGAGATGCAGCGGGCAGTGGAGACAGGGGCGGTCCTCATCTTTCTTTCCCAGGCTCTGCTCTGCATCAGCTATAGCAGCAGTGGGATGGGGGCAGGGAGGCTGCTGGCTCTCTGGTTACCTTCGTGGTCTGGCACTGTGACAGGAATGTGACTTTGGCAAAGGGATCTGAAAGTCCATTGCTGTCAGCGGCAATGAGGCTCCGGGCTTGGTACATGTGTGCCCTCAGCTGGAAGACATGCTGGGCTGTGGAGAAATTATGGAAAGGGCAAATGTTAATGGGCTTTCAGGATTAGTACGCGTGAATGTGTGTCTGCAAGTGTCAGGAGGCTGTGTGTCCACCGGAAGATGACTGTGATATCAGGCCTGCCCTCCTCCGTGGCCAGGTGGAGCTGTGAAGACAGAGAAGAGGGGCTAGTGCCAAAACTTCGGAAGCACACATTCCACCCTGAGGTTTTGTCCCATTGTGTTTCTTCTTAATCATCATCACGATAACCACGTGAAATATGGAATTATCTCCTCATTAATAGATGAGGAAAATAACCCCAAAATGGATGATGTAATTTCCCAAGTGAGCAGAGTCCAGATTTTTCTTCTGCCTAATTCCAAAATCCACCAGTTCCCCCTAAACTGTTGTGTTTTAGCAAGCTTAAAGAAGCAGCCTGGCTCCCTAGGAATCTCTTGTTTATGAGAAAGAGAGAGAGAGAGAGAGAGAGAGAGAGAGAGAGAGAGAACATGCGCTTGTGAGCACAAATGCCTATACAGGCTCGTACTCGGGTGTATAAGGTGCCTTACAAATAGCTTTTACTTTTAATAAACTCAGTAGATGTATTGAGTCATCCATCCACCTGTTCTTCTACTTTGCTAGCCAATGGCATTTCATGTGCCTACTATGTAGAGTTTTGGTCTTGATCTCTAAGGCCCAGTCAATAGAAACAGGACTAAAACTGTCCCTGTCTTTGGAAGATTCCTAGGAAGGCAGAAGATAGATGAGAACCAGATCACAGCGATGGAAGGGTGTGGTGAATGGTGTGAGGGATCTGGACAAAGGGTCTGGGGAACAAAGAGCAGGAGTGAGCACATGTTGGATAGGATGGAACACAAAGGGAGAGAAAGCTTGGAGGAGGTCAGCATTCAGTGGAGAATGACAGGTCAGCTGGCCACATTCTTTGGTTCATGGATCTCCCCACCACTGGGCTTTCCAACTAACCTCTTATATTCACATTCCCTCAATCCCTTTTGCCTCCGTACCCACCCATTTCCACATCTCTGAAAGGTGCTATGTTAGCGTAATCTATGTCTTTGTGTTGTCAGGAGAACTTCTGTGTAGGAACCCTGGTGTACCCACAGGTTCTAATTACTTAAACGAAGACCACAATACCCTATGAACATTCACTCCCCAACCTTCATCAATTCCCTTCCGGCAACTGCTAGACATAAACCACCCATGTCTATGCAGGAACCTGAACACAGCCATCTGTAAAATGGAGGCTCATCATAACTCCTATGAGGCTATTATGGAAGGCTGAGGGCTGAGGACGGTGCCTAGTGCTGACTGAGGTGTCCTGAAGAGGCTGGTGTGCTGTTCCTATTGGTTGTTGCCCTATCGCCCATGGTGGTGAGCAGCTGGAAGCGACCTGGGTATCATCACAGCAGAAACGGACAGGAGAAGTGCCAGGCAGCTCGGTGAAGCAAGTAGAAGCAGCGGCTTAGTTGTGTACACCGCAAAAGAGCAGGGTCTCAAGGATCTAGTATATAGTGGGAATAAAAAAGGCAAAATACCACAACCACGAATGGCTCCTGTGAAGTAAGATTATGAACATCCACGAGAACAGGTCATAGTCACCAAATCACATTCAAATCCAAAGGAGCTGATTCCAGGGGAGGTGGCTCTGTCCTTTGAGCAGAGACCTTCAGGGTGGTGTTGGATAGGCAGGGATGCAAGCCTCAAATGGCCATAGCAAGGATAAGGGATTAGTCCGTTTCAAAAGAAATTTGAAAAAAAAGTTGGCTACTTGGTGTGGAAGTAGGTAGTCACATGACGTCAACCCTGCAGATGTGCACGAAGCATTGAAAAGTGCAGTAGGCCACATAGGACTCTTGAAGGTGTGTGTGTGTGTGTGTGTGTGTGTGTGTGTGTGTGTGTGTGTTTAGGAGCAGATGATAGCAGAGTAAGGAGGATAAAATGGTAGGTCAAGCTTTCAATGGCCAGAAGAGATGGAAGGGATGGAGTTAAGGAGACAACAGTGCCCCCTGTAGGTGAAAATTGGAAGAGCCAGCTGGCCACACACTGCTGGAGGGATTAAAATGAGGAGTGGGTAGGACCTTGCAGCCTTATGTGGGCGGTGGAGAACTTGACTCTGACAGACAGGGTGTGGAGGGACAGGGAAGGCCACATGTCAAAGGTAATTTCTTAGTTGAGTGTCATATGACCCGAATATTTCTGTCTCTCTACCCCATGCCACTGTCTGGCTTACGTGAGGACCAGCATGGAGCCTGCGAATGTAGCAACCCTTTCAATCCCCATCTTAATCCTGCAGGCAATAAGGAAACTTGAGCTGTGCACATTGCCCAGTTAAGTCCATGCCGGCTCTTATAATGCGAGGCTGTGCAAAGTAAGCAAGCTAGCAGACGGAGAGAAGTGATTCTTCGGGGCTCAGTTCTAAAGCCCTCCTTGTCTCCATAGACACCAATTAACTCTGATGCTGACAGGCTGGGCTCTGCTGACAAGAGAGTCCCTTAAAATGACAGCAGTAAACAAAGCAGTGCACCGCAGGTGTCACAGAGATGGCAGCTGGGAGACGTGTTAGTCCCCATACTACCAAGTTCAGCAGATTCGTCAGTTGGACTTGGGGAGGATCCCATTCCTGAGAGAACACCCACCAGCTACCCCTGGGGTGACTCATCTTGAGATATTAGCAGCTCTTCTAACTGAAGCTACACACCAGCACATTGCACAACTCTAGGGGGCGCCATTTACTTAGCCTACATTTGGGGTTTCTTCAGAAACCTTGAATCTTACCAGCTCTGCTCCTTTGAGATACCTTGCCTGATTCCCTCCCCATGCTGTGTCGCCCCATCTCCTGCCTCCTGTGGATATGAAAGCCACACCTGGATGTCCTACTTGAAGATAAAATCACCTCTTGCTCATCTCTACAACCCCTGCCAGGTTTTCCACCATGCCTTCCAGATATAGATGCAAGGTAATTATTTGCTGAATGGCTATCCTCTGGAGCATAAAATTTCACCAGTCGGTGTGGAAGGCAGCCAACTCCACCAATGTCAGTGCTCGGCAGAAGGTCATTAGGTAACTCCATAAAAATGACATGCCGCACGGCCTCTCAAAGCCTCAGAAAAGCCTCTCTCCTCTCCTCTGGATTGTTAGTGGCTGAAACAGTGAACAGGCCTGGGGCTTTGCACCTGTGTAGCTGTTTGTATCTACAGAAGCAGGAGCCAGCTCAATGTGGGTGTTATTTACCCCAAGATAAAAAGCTCTCAGTGGTTTAATAGAAGGCAGATAAGAAAGTAGTGTTTTGGAAATGGTTTGCCCAATCCTTCAGCAGATGAGTGATCACGGGCAATTTCTGGGTGTCTCAAAAATGTATTCTCCACATCTGTGAATTAAAGAATTCCCAAGGTTAAATGAGATCTTAGGCATAGCATGTACGGCTCGGTGCTTGGCACTTTGTGCTATGGTTTTCCTCCCAAAATAACCCACTGTGCGCTGACACTGAGTGCAGACTATGAGCTGAAACACTGTACGCGTCTCCACAAGGCTGTCCTCCCTCTCTCACTACGGAGCCGCTTGGAGTGCACTGTCACTCAAGGTCAACTGACACCGAAGGATGTCACGCAACAGAGGAAACTTAGTGTGTCTGCAGCGTTCACAGCTTTGGCTCAACTCAAAACTCAACTTCAGTGGAAGTGGAGATAAAACAGCGGCTTGCTTTGTCTGGAGTTAGCAGCTAAAAAAGCACAAAAGTTAAAGTGATTTGAAAACAGAGCAGAATGCAAATGTCAGCGTTAATATTCAAAATGGGATTCAAATGCTATTGAAATGTAAACATGTTGGTGATGAAAGTAACCGTATGGATTAAATAGGTCCATAAAACATGCTGCCTTTGTAGAAAGTAGCAGCCAAGCCAGGAACTGGGCTGCAGAAATATCAGTGACTTCACCAATCTCAGTTTGTACTGGGTTGCTGAAGCGATAAGCATTCAAACCTCAATGCTGTGTAAAAAGGAAAAACAAAAAACAAAAAACAAAAAACCCACCTTAATTTTATGAGTCATGTTAGCACAAGAAAGTCCTGCTTAAAATGCAAACTTATTTTAATGCGGTTCATCTACCAAGAAATCCACACTGTTCTCTCTCTCTACTCAGAGAAATGCATAAAATTTACTCCAGGTGTAATGCTTTTAAATGGGACATCTCTTCCCATTTGGGAGAAGGGCATGCTTGGTCATTGTACTAATGAAGGCAATGGAGTCGGTCTCAACTGAAACGACACAGACGCATGAATGCTGTCCCCACACAGAAGCACGTCAGAGATGTCTCCTGTCCCCCTTTGCTCTGTGGGCACCATACCTTGGTAGAGGAGGGCCGATGGAGGGTGATAGGTGCCAGATGGCTTGGAGGGCATCTCTGCTTCATAACCTGCCGGCAAGTTGTCCAAAATGGCACTGGAGTATCTGGTGGAGCCCAGCCACAGATAGATGTCCACTTTTGCCTGAACAGTCCAGCCAGCTGGCCGTTTCCCAGGAAGCTGTGAGAGAGGACAAGGAAGGCTGTTTTATTTCCATAAGACAAGCGTGGGCTCTCTCCTGAGAAAAGGGGTCCTCCCTGGACATACACCTCAAGGTTTGTACAGAGGTCCACACCCCACGGCTCTGTCTATATCACAAAAGTGAAAGAAATGGCCCCAATGGTACCTCTGGAGGACTACCCTGGTTTGGAGGCCTGAAGCTTATACACGCATTCTGATAACCACTGCCAGGCCCTGGATCACTCAGGTGTGCTTATTGCCCTGTTTCATAGATGAGGAAAGTGTCTATATTCTCTTAGTCTTTAACTGAGGCACCCAAGCCTAGAGCCTGGGATTGATCATTCCAAATGTAGACTCTTGGCTCTGAGCCCACATCCTGCCTCTTCAGGCTCTTCAGTTGGCCTTGCCTTCCGCAACCTTGGCTACTCGGGTTGCAACCTGAGTTTCTGTCCCTCACTTTATTCAGGACGGCCTGTCCTACTCTCCTATCCCATGCTCTGTGTGAGGGAAGACCTGCCTACTCTCCTTGGCCCTTTAGCCTGGCAGACACTTTCAGATCCTTCATCCTCCTCAGGCAGTATGGCTTTAGGCTCCCTAAATTCTCTGCTTCCTTTCCTTCTGATGAACTCAGTTGTAATATAGTGTGTGTGTGTGTGTGTGTGTGCGCGCGCGCGCAAATGTATTTGTGGGGGTTCATACACCCCAAGACCACAAGGACAGAGACTGATGTAGTCAATATACATCTTTCGTTTCCTAGGCACACCTGCACCTGTCCACACCTGCACAGTTCCAGGTACCAGCTCTGGCTGTGTTGAGGGCATCTGAGCAGGGCCGATGACACTTAAGACATGGCGACTTCTCCAGGTTCTGTTAACTCTTCTAAGCGCCTCTTCACGGCAGGTTTTAGAATTGTCTCTCAGAAACTTCTCCCCTGCACTGACTTCTTTCCATGGAGGACCACGAAGTCCTACTACCACAAGCCAGAGCTTGTTCTGACAACTTCCAAAGCACCCACAGGGAGGCTCTGGCTGCAAATTTAATATGGCTATTTGCCTTTGTAGCTTGCTCTGAAGATTCCAGCAGCGGATTTGGAACAACTCAACCACTGCAAGTGGTGCTGAGCTTTGGCCAATGGACTGGGGCCAGGGAGCATCCGGTAGTGAGGCTTAGCCAGGTCCTCCAAGAGCTCACATCTGGACACTGGCACTCACTCAAAAGACGGATACATAGTTTCTATTGTTGACTTGACTGGGTTAATAAACATCTAAAAGATCAGTGAGCTACGCCTTTGGATGTATCTGAGAGTGTCTATACAGGACTACTTGGCAGGAGTGAAGGTGATACAGTCTGACAGCACAGAGGCGTATGTTTTGTTGTAGTAACAGCATTTCTTCTGCTCTTTGTAGACATCAGTTCACAAAGGCAGGATTTGGGGCGGGGGGGGGGGGGGGTCCTGGTGCATCACAGTGATGTTTCCAAGACATAAAAAGGAGTACTTGGTGCCAGAGAACGCAGCAAATGTTGTTTTTTTTTTTAAATAAATATTGTATTCCCCAAAATAATGATGCTTTACACCCATTGAGAACTTACAGGAACTAGGCCCTGGCCTAATGTTTTCCTCCTGCAGAACGTCTTATCTCCTCATGTTTAACAGGCCACTGTTTCCATCTCACAACAGTTCTGCAATACTTTTAACGAGTGTATTTTAGAAATAGAGAAGATGAATTTCAGGGAAATAAATGCAACTATCTAATGTCACAGAGCAAGAAAGGCTGCGTGCACACTCATCAGCTCTGCGCAGAACTCCACTCTGCTCCTCACACGCGCTGTGTGTGCCTGTGTACACACATTGCCCGAGTATCTCGGTAAAGTGCAGCTCTGACTCCGTGGGTCCAGGGTGGAGTGTGAGCTTCCTTACCTCCTTCTGTTAGAGCTGAGCCTGCAGGCCTACAGACCTTAGTTTTAGGTATTTAAGTTGCATGGCTCTTAACATACTAGGCTATAATCCTTCCAGGTAGCTGACGTTCTTTATTCTTTAATGATAAGCAACAGAAAACATCATTACTTTCTACTGATAGTAAACAAACTATGAGTGTGTGTGTGTGTGTGTGTGTGTGTGTGTGTGTGTGTGTGCACGCGCGCGCACTTACAGTGAGAACCAAAACCCAACTCAAATCCTGCGAAAGTCTTCCACAGGATCACTGCTGTATTACTAAAGTTCACAACATAGGAATTTTCCAGACAAGCATTCCTAAATCAAAATTGTTCTCACTCATCCAGGTTTGGTTTATTCAACCTTTTGGGACTAGAATGGAGAGCAGATAAAAAACAAACAAACAATAAAGAATGGAGAGGCACATAAACAGTTCTGAGAGCCCACATCAAAATCCTTCATGAGATGTTATGCTCAAGGCTTAGCCTTTCTCATGCCTCATCTACCTCCCACCTCCTAAAAGGGGCAGAAAGAATAAAAGGCCCACTAAAGTCCTTGTTAGAGTTTGGAGGTAAAATATCCTTCCTAAACATTTGAACTCTCGTTTCCCTGCCCTTGGCACTGTTTGGGAAGGCTATAGAAACTTTGGCTCCGTAGCCTAATTAACAGACAGGTCTTTGAAGATGATCTTTCCTCTTGTTTTGTTCCATTATCTCTGCTTCATGGTCTGTACACACAGGAAGCCTCTTGTATGAGCTCCTGTCTCCAGAGACCCATCTAGTCACCATTCCTTCCCCACCCCTCTATGAAGGTCTGTGTCACCTTATACTGTGAGACAAATTAAATTCTTTCTCCCTTGAGCTGCTTCTGCGGGGTGTTCTGGCACCGCAACAGGCAGAGTAACCAATACAAATGTAAACAGATACCCTGGAGCAATTAACCGACAAACCTGGCTTTCAAAAACTTGGATGTTTCTTGACCGTAGAGTTCCTAGCAGTCTTTTTCTGACCTGTGGGAACCATGAGACTCTACGACTTCCCAGTGTGACAACCACAGCCTCCTACAGGTCTTTGAATGTTTAGGGAATGTTTACTCAGCAGAAAGCTGCGCCACAGGAAAAACTTTGAGGAATTTCTGGCTCAGAGATTTACATTCTATGCTTTTTATTTCCACTTCTGAATTCTCCACTAGGAAAGAAGCATGAGACTGTGTCTCCTCCCATAACCTTGGCTTTTTTTTTTTTTTTTTCAGACTACTATTTCAGGAAGGGGGTGGGGAATAAAAGGAAGTGGTGGGTGGGAGGAAGGGAATTGAAATAGAAGGTGACAATCAAAACAGGAACAAAAACGGTTTTGCTGTATCATCCTTTCAAGATGTTCCCCTCATAGTACCTGAATTCAAACAGACGTAGCTTTCATCCGTAGCAATGGCAGTGGCAAAAGAAAAATGCAGGGAAAGAAAGCCATAACCACACTGATAAAGATAACACACAGGCTGGGTGCCTCAGGAAAGGCACTTCTCCCACCTCAGCTGTACCTGTTCCCTGGCTTGATCTGACAGATGCTCTTTGTTCTAATTTTGTTTGGAGCCAGGATACACCACAATATTTAGCAGAGGGTAACTTCACACCACTTTCTAGTATTTTTAGCATGGGTCCTCTGGAAATGATTTGCTATTTTTAAGAGAAACCCTTCTTGCTCCTGTAGCAGTCTTTGACTGGAGAAGGTTAAAAAAAAAGTTTCTGATGAATGACTTGGGTAAAAAATATCGTGCCCCCCCTTCACTTACAGTTTCATAGGAACAGATTTTTTAAATTATTTTATAGGCAGAACAGAAAGAAACAAGCAAAGCCATTGTGTTAGTTTCTTCTCTCATTGCTGTGCCAACCTCCCAACAAAGCCAACTTCAGGAAAGGATTCATTTTGGCTCCTGGTTCAAGAGAGGCTATAGTCAGCCATTGGTGGGAGCTGTAGAGGAGGGACGGTAAGGTGGCTGTCCATCAGGTTCACAATCAGAAATCAGGGACAGATGAATCCTGGTGCTCAACTCCTTCCCCCTCCCTCCTTTCTGTTCACTCTGAAGCCCCAGTCTGTGGGATGGAGCACGTTTTCCCACACCAGTTCAACTTTTCTGAAGCACATTCACAGACAATCGCCTGGACTCTGTCTCATAGTTGATTCTAAATCTAGTCAGATTAAGCACCACAGCCATAAACAACTGATTAGCTCTGATGGGGTTAAAAACATTTTCTTGGATGCTGGATCTCCAGTTGTTTGAACACTCGTATTTATTGAGTGATTACCCTGTGGGAGGCAAAAGTATTTGTTCTGTGCTTGAATTTACTCCCTTAATCCGCACAGCCATATCCATGTAGAGGATGAAAAGTAGAATAAACATTCTTCAGAACGATGAAAAATATTAAGCAATGTGTCCAAGATCACACAGCCAGTAAGTATTTGCCCAGAATTCTGTTATGAGTTGAATTATGTTCCTCTCAGATTCATATATTTTAGTTCTTAATCTTCAATACTCAGATTGTTACCCTATTTGGAAGTAGGGTCATTACAGATGTAATTAGTTAAATGACTGTACTGAAATAGGATGCTCCCTAAATCTATGACTGATAACCTTATTAAATGAATGCTTTCTTTCTTCTTCCTTCCTTTCTTTGTTCTTTCTTTTTTCAAAACCAGGGCCTCAGAGTTGGGCAAGCTCATTACCTCTGAACATGTTCATTCCTTTTTTTTTTTTTTTTTTCTCCACAAGGAGAGCAACAAAACCAAAAAGTCTGAGCACAGGGGTCTTTCCTGAGACTGATACTCCAACCAAGGACTATGCATGGAGATAACCTAAGACCCCTGCACAGATGTAGCCCGTGGCAGTTCAGTATCCAAGTGGGTTCCATTTTAATAGGAACAGGGACTGTCTCTGATATGAACTGATTGGCCCGCTCTTTAATTACCTCCCCCTGGGGGGGAAGCAGCATTACCAGGCCACAGAAGAAGACAATGCAGCTACTCCTGATGAGACCTAATTGACTAGGATCAGAAGGAAGGAAAAGAGGACCTCCCCTATCAGTGGACTTGGGGAGGGGCATGCATGCAGAGGGTAGAGGAAGGGAGGAATTGGGACAGGAAGAGGGAGGGAACCACAGGGGGGATACAAAGTGAATAAAGTGTAATTAATAAAAAAAATTGGAAAAAAAAAGAAAAAATTAAGTCAGTATCTCATTAACTTGCTCAAGTTGGCCTTGAGCTCAGTCTGTAGCTCAGGGTAGTCTTGAAGTGCCTCAGATTCCCAAGTATTTGAGGTTAAAGGCCTTCAGCACTGGGCTGTCTTGAATTTACAAAACAAAACAAAAAAACCCTGTATTAATTGTATGTATGGATGAGGTTCATTATTTATATATATAAACTCCTGTGAAATGATGCCTTGGAAAAGTTGTATAGGAGAAAATGACAGGAGGAAAAGCATCTACTCTCACTAGTAACCAAAGGAGTGAAAATCTAAGCTAGAGGGTTGGGTCATTAGATTAAAAGAGAAGTCTACCTGTGTCAAAAGACATAGCAATTGGAAAGAGAGAAGAAACCACTGAACAAGAAGCCTGAGGTCTCCCAGCTGTTCTACGTTCTTGAAAACACTGGGAAGAATTTCAGACATGAACAGGTGCCAACAATTTTAAGCCACTCAGAATAAAAGACATTGGTCTTCCTCTGGTCTGGAGCAGACTTACCTTGAGAAAGTGGGTCTTGATCCTCCCACAGTGCTTGCCCATCTGCTCTCTGACGGGGGAGTAAAACAGGTCTTTGGCAGCAATGCGGGCATACGCTACTCTCTTGTTGTTACTGAGCATCCAAACGAAGACGTCAGGGATGGTGTGCTGTGGCTGCGTGGTGGAGGGATATGATCGCATAGGTTGGTATTTAACGGATGTGCTTCTAGAGTTTACCTGAACCCTTTTTCTGCGGAGTCTCCGTGTTAAAAAATGAAGGTGTTTCATCAGCTGTACAAACAAGCCAGTGAAGTGCCACGTCCTCAAGAGGAAAACACCTTGTCGTCAGGTAGGAATACAGGGGCCTGCTTGTGCTTGCTGGACGTGTATTGGAGCATCTTTGATGGCCTGCTTTTCTTGATATACCAAATGGATGCTTTCCTACAGATTTCTATTGATTCTTTTCCAACTTAGATTTTAGCTTTACAGCATTAGATTTCTTCAGACCCGTGTAACGTTCCAGAAAGTCCAAATGAAAGACAAAAACGCAAGTGCACTAATGCCTTGGAATCATTCCACATTTACTTTTGGAGATCTAGTTGCCAAATAGCTGGCTTCTATTTCAGCCATTCGGAGAAACTCTATTAAACTTTATAGAAATTAAAAATTTAAAAATTAAGCTACTCAATAAGGAAAATGCAGATTTCCATATCAAATGTTTCGTTATTTTGTGTTTGAAATGTACTTTTCTGAACCAATATAACTACCCAAAGAGGAAGCATAGTGCTTTGAGCTGGACGTAGATCCCCTGTCTTTCTCACCCCTGATATACATATTTGGTAGTGAAAAGGAACATCCATCCCTTCTATCTGATATGGAACCAAAGGCAAAGGATAGTCTTCCAGACACAGGGCTCGTTAGTTACAGACAGGAAGCCAATGCCTGGCTCAAACCTTCCATGTTCTTAATGAAACCCTCTTGCCTACTGTTTAACATTATCTGTCTCACTACTTAATATTCTTCCAAGGAACAAATAATATACAAGAGAATCATCACATTCAAGAGCCAATGAATAAGTAAATACATGTACCTTTTCCTAACACCATCCCCCACAAAAACCAATGTAGGAAGTCTGTCCACACCTGTAAGCTTCAAGAAAGATTGAGCATGTGACAGGAACAAATATGATGCCTTTTCAAGATCATTGTAGAAGGCACTAGAAAATGTTCCTAACAACTAACTTTAAAAATTAGATACTGTTTGGTCTTTATTGAGTTTAAATTCTCTTATGGTTGAAAACCCATCAAGTCCCCATCAACAGCATGCTTGTTTAGACTTTTCTTGTATTAGGGGACATGCTTTGTACTCTACTGAATACTTGACTTTATGAGAATATAGTGATCTATGTCTGGCTTAATTTTTAAATTTCTCCTTCTGTCACAAAGGAAGCATTCAATTCGCCCTCTCCACCTCACCCCACCTCCTGGGAAGATTTCTTCCCCATCTTCCCAATGAGCTTTGCTGGTAGAGTTGATTACCTCATCCACAAGAAAGCGTATTTTCTCCACAAAGTTCTGAGTTTCACGGATCATTTCATCAAGAGATAACTTTTTCTTCTGTTGTTGAATGACCCCTTCAGCCTCCTTGGCCATTGCCTCCTAAAATAAAGATGAGAGTTGGTGTATATCTTTCTAGAAGTCTGGGCAACAAACACTGCCCTGTTTCTGGAGTGTCCTGAAGGTGTTTGTAAACCTCACAAACCTAAGCTCCACACAAAACTGGCTTTGGGTTTGACACTGTGCATATTACCCATTGAATAGAAATGGGTATTGAATCCAAAAGATGCTCAAGTGCACAATAAGGACATTTGCTCAACCATGTTTGTAGCAACTTTATTTGTAATAGCCAGAGCCTGGAAACAACCCAGAAGCCCCTCAACTGAAGAACGGATACAGAAATTGTGGTACATCTACACATGGAATGTTGCTTAGCAATGAAAAACAAGGAAATCATGAAATTTGCAGGTAAATGGTGGGAACTGGAAAGGATCATCCCAAGTGAGCTATCCCAGAAGCAGAAAGATGCACACAGTATATACTCACTCATATAGATTATATAATATAGGATAAACCTACTAAAATCTATACACCTAAAGAAACTGATCAAGAGGAAGGACTCTGGCTAAAATGCTCAATCCCCATCCCGAAAGGCAAAGAGGATGGACATCAGAAGAAGAAGAAGGAAACAGGAAACAAGTTAGGAACCTCCCACAGAGGGCCTCTGAAAGGCTCTGCCCTGCAGACTATCAAAGCAGATCCTGAGACTTATGGCCAACTGTTGGGCAGAGTGCATGGAATCTTATGAAAGAAGTGGGAAATAGTAAGATCAGGAGAGGAAAGGAGCTCCACAAGGAGAGCAGCAGAACCAAAAAATTTGAACACAGGGGTCTTCCCAGAGACTAATACTCCAACCAAGTACCAGGTATGGATATAACCTAGAACCCCTGCACAGATGTAGTCCATGGCAGCTTAGTGTCCAAGTGGGTTCCAAAGTAATGGGAACAGAAACTGCCTCTGACATGAACTGATTGGCCTGCTTTTTGATCACCTCCCCCTGAGGGGGGAGCAGCCTTACCAGGCCACAGAAGATGACAATGCAGCCACTCCTGATGAGATCTGATAGACTAGGATCAGCAGGAAGGAGAGGAGGACCTCCCCTATCAGTGGACTTGAGGAGGGGCATGTGTGGAGAAGAGGGAGGGAAGGTGGGATTGAGAGGGAAGGGGGAGGGGTTTATGGGGGGATACAAAGTGAATAAAGTATAATTAATAAAAATTAAAATAAAAAATATTAAAAAAAGAAATGGGTATTGAATAGAAATTACACAGGAATGTGGAAACACTAGATGCTTTCTCTCCTTTGGTGGATAGATAAGATGTTGAGACCTAGAAAGTGCTGAAATTTGTCCAGACTACATGATTACACATCTGTATCAGAACTAAGCTTCCTCGTACTTAATAACAACTATAATAACATAAGCTTAACTGTTTGGAGCAGGGGAGGGGGAGAGGGTAATTAAAACAATCACACAGCTCCTGGTGTTGCCCAACTTCCACCATAGAGACGGAAGAGGACACCCTCTAACCAGACAAGTCTAGTAGAGGGATGGAAACACTAACCCAGCCATAAAAAGTTCGACTTAAAATTTACCCTGCCTTCAAAATGTGCAGGGATAAAGATAGAGCAGATATGACAGACTGACAGAAGGTCCAACCTATGACTGGTCCAACCCAAGACCCACCCCATAGGAGAGAACCAACCCCTGACACTATTAATGATAGTCTTCTATGCTTGCAGACAGGAGTCAAGCGGAGTTGTCCTCCGAGAGGCTCCAACTAGCAGTACCTCTAAACAGATGCTGAGACTCACAGCCAAACACTGGGCAAGGCATAGGGAGCCCTTTAAAAAAGTGGGAGGAAGGAGAAAAGGACCCGGACATGATAGGAGCTTTACAAGAAGACCAACAGTGCCAACTAACCAGGGCCAGGAGGGGCCTGCTGAGACTGAAGCACCAACCAAGGACCTTGCATGGACCTAGGCCCCCTACAAAGATGTAACTGATGAGCAGCTCAAGTGTCATGTGGGTTCCCCAAAAAGAGGAGCAGGGGCTCTCTCTGACATGGACTCTCTTGACAGCTTTTCAACTACTTCCCCCTCGAGGGACTGCCTTGCCAGGCCACAGGGGAGGAGGACATGATCAGCTCTGATATAACTTGATAAGCTGGGATGGATGGGAAGGGGTGGCTCCCCTTTTCTGAGGATTAGGACAGGGGGAGAGGGAGATGGACAGAGGGTGGGACTGGGAGATGAGGTGGGATAAGGCTAAGGATGTAAAGTGAATTAATTAATTGATTCATTGATTCATTGATTGATTGATTGATTAAAAATCACACAGCCCCTGGGCTTGATCTCCAGCTCAGTCCAGAATGTGTGTCACTTTCTCATCTTAGAAGTATGAAGGTACTATCTGAGAAACAGGAAGAATCACTAGAGTGCTTTAAATACCAAACAACTATTTTATAACCCAGGCAAGGAAGTACACCTCTGTAATCCCAAGATTTGGGAAGGATATGGAAACAGGAGAATCAGTAGTTCAAGACCATCCTCAACTACACAGCAAATGTGAGCTCAGCTTGGGCTACACGAGATCATGTCAAGAAAGGAAAAGAGAAGGGATGGGGAAGAGGAAGGAGGAGGAAAAAGCACAGGGAGGGACAAAGGAAGGTAGGAGAGAAGCAAAGAAAGTACTAATTTTTATTTATCCATTCCACCTATGGGATTTCCTCTTATGGGATTTATTTTAAAGCCCACAGTCTCTTTACAGTGACTTCTAAGGCTGTGCTTACTCCTTCCTTCTAATAGCTTTCTCTCCTCTCCCACTGTGCCCCAGGCTCATGGCTCCTCAGGAGGTCCTGGGACATGACAAGTTTGGTCTACCCTAAGGCTGTAGCACAAGGACCTTCTTATTGCTCTAATGTTCTTCCTAGCCTCCTCATGGCTGCAGTTTAAACATCACCATTGTATTATATGTTGTTATGTGTTTCCCTGCTTACTGTGGCTTTAGCGATTTTCCCTTCATAATCAGAACCCATGATTATTTTTATGTGTGGGTTGTTTACCTGTCTGCATTCTGTCTCCTTCACTACGATGGAAACTTCAGTTGGACAGGGACCTTATTTTGAACAATGAATGTTGTCAGAAATAACTATTACACAACAGTGACATACAGTATGAGAGGCTACTAAATATGGAATGAGTAGGTCAGTCCATTTATGGATTCCTCACAGACAAACACTAAGTACTTTCAGCTTTTGTGTGCCTAGCACTTTTTCCATGCCTGGTATAAGAAGCCTTCTGGTGATGTTGAGTGAAAGAATGAATACAGGCTGTCTGCCAGGTACTGAGACTTGAGTTGGACATGATGCTTCCTTTGACATTTTTGTTAAATGAAAGCACTACATGCAAATAAACGTATAAAGTATCATGAGATCAGACAGAGGTGAAGTCAGTCTTCCTGGAGGATTTGAATCTGAGCTGACCTATATAGAATTCATCAGTCAGTAAGAAAACAAATAATAGCAAGAGTCCAGCTAGTTGCAACACAATTCCAGGGTAAGGGCATATTGCAGGACAAGGCCAGGATGCTAGGTCTGTGTGTCATGCAAGGGGAATTTAGACTTTATCCTGTGAATTATTGACACACTTTAGTGATTTGCTAAGAACAAGTGATCACACCAAATTTTGTTTTTGGAGTGGAAGATAGGCCAGGGGAAGTCTATGCCAGAGATTCTCGGGGGCTAGAGAAGTAAAGTGAGCTCTAGAACGCTTAAGGGACAGAATCAACAGGATCTGGGAACAGCGCTGACTGTTTGAAGTGAGGGATAAGAGTCAGCATTGATACACAGGCTTCCATTGGATCAATGAGTACAGCTGGGGTATGGCAATACAGGATGGAGAAGAAAGTGTGGGTCATAGAAGATACAACTCTGAGTGTGTGTGTGAGAGAGGGTATTTCTAAAGAGGTTTAAGGAGGAGAAAAGACCCCCTCCCAATGCAGATAGCACCGTCTGCTGGGCTGGGTTCCTGGACTGAATAAAAAGAAGGAAGCACGTTCCTGCACGCTGCCATCCCCCCCCCCCCCCGTTTCATGATCTGTGGAGATGTGAAGAGCCCCAGCTATGTGCTCCCACAGCCGTGAACGCCACCACACCTGCTCTGCCATGACTGAGCCAAAATAAATCCTTCCTCTCGTAGACTTCGTTCCCTGTGGTGAGAAGAGTAATAAATCCAAGGCACTCTTGAGACGCTGGCATTGTGGGCTTGTTCCGGCCAGGACTGGTAGAAAACAAGCGCACGGAGCTCTGCAGCGAACTCACAATAGAGAAAAGGTATAGACATCGTGTCGGCTAAAGGACGAGAAGGACCAGGCACACAGGTCTTACAGATGGCGGAAGCCAGCCCCCCTGGATCTCCTGGGGGAAAGGTGAAGGAAGAGCTTAGACAGCTGTTTTAGTCTCTGGACTTGGGTTAAATAGTTGTAACCTTAGAAAAAAAAAATCTTTCTGAATCCTGCTGTTATGTTTTAAATGCTTCCCATGACCCAAAGTCAATTATTAAGAGGTTTTTTTTGTTTTTTTTCCCTTGGCAGAATTATCACAGTGTCAGGCAAATGTTCCTTGTGCTGTTGCTGGGACTGAAATTTCACAGTCAGGTATTTCAGGCTCTGTCTGATTTGGGCTGGCATTTCTTGGCCACCACTCTTTCCACAGGGATTGAACATCTATAAGGTACCTTTTAGCATCTACAAACACGATGGTAGTGGGCAGGACACAGGGACATCAGTAGCTGCCTGTCCTCAAGAAGTCCTGGCAACCCTTAACACGATTTTCAATGGGGACCCGAGGAGGGGGAATTGTTACTTCTTTTAGCTTCTTGGTGTGTGGGGCAGACATCAAGGTGAAATTGTCTAGCAGCCTAGCCTTAAAATACACACACACACACACACACACACACACACACACACACACACACACACACAC